TGTTAATATTTATAAATTTCTTAGAATGATGCCTGGCGTATACTAGGCACTTGTACGTGTGTGCTATATAAAACAAGACCCATGGTTAGAGAGATGAAAATAATACCCCAGTCAACTCTGGGAAAAAAGGAGAGTCAGAGCACTGGAGTCCAGAGCAGGGAGCTGGAACAGAGCAGAGATGAGGAAGAATGTGTTGCTAATTACAGCCACCTGACCACTCCCCTCCCCCAGCTTCCTTAGGATCCTTCAAGTAAGCATTTCTTGTGCTTTGGGACACTAGCAATCATTCCTCCTCTCCTTCCACCCACTGCTTCCTAGATCAGTAAGTGGGGGGAGAACCTCCCCAAATACGGCAGGCACGGAAGGGTGGATGGAGATGATTGCATCCTGCACTCCTCGGGGTAGAATGGGTTACAGCACGTTATACTGAGTGAAAGGGAGTTAAGAGCAAAGAGGAAGCAAAGAGTTGAGCAGCCAGTTTTGTGTCGTTCTCCATGAGGGTGGAAAGTCCTTTGTCAGGAGTTTTTAAGAAAAGGAACCTACCACCCCACACAACAGTACACTATTATCTACTAGATTTTTCTGCCTTCTTTTTTTTTTCCCCTAAAGATTTATTTATTTATCTGGAGGAGAGGGGCAGAGATAGAGAGACAATCCTGAAGCAGATTCCCCACTGAGTGCAGAGCACAGTGTGGGGCTCCATCCCAGGACCCTGAGCCAAAATCAACAGTTGGCTATTTAACCAACTCAGCCACCAAGGCGCCCCAACTTTTATCACCGTTTTTGAGATCTGAGTTGACTTGAATCTGTTTCTTCAAAACAAAAAGAAACACACAATTTCTCAAAACCAAGATGGGATCCTGGCCATCCACTGTTCTATCACTATTTCCTTTTATTGTTGTATAATCAAAAATTGAGTATAACAAAGAAAATATGGGTACATAGCACCACCAACATCAGTCTCCCAACCGATTGCTCATACCTCTTTCTTTTCCAGCTTCCACACAGGTGAGCTTAGTAACCCCAAACTTGCAGGTTCATTCCTCTCCAAGTTTCAAGACAAGAAAGATTTGATACAGGAAACACTTGAACAGCCTCTGTCCACCACTGAATCTTGAAGCCCCTTTGAAGGCATGCTGTACACTTGGTCAGTCACCTTGCTGACACCAGAAGCTTCAGTGCACCAAGCTGACAAGGTGTGTCTCTCCTGCCTCCTACGAGTCTTGTGTTAGCACACTGATGCTCCTTCCTACCCTCTATTTGGAAACTGGATTTTTGAGCTAATGTCTTGATATCCAGTTTCCCCCATACATCATATATTTTTCCATTTCTATAACCGGGCTTCTGCTTTTGAGACCTTTCTGAATATCTGTGGTAATAGTCTTCTCAAACCTCTTTCTAGAACAAAGGCTTTATCTTTATCTCAAAGGCTCCTCTTTACAAAGACTTTGGACTAGTGGCAAATTGGATCTCACCAGGACCCTTCCAGCCATGAAATCCTGTGTCTAATGCCCAGGAGGATGGTCAGGACTTACCTATCCATGGACAGATATCCATGTGGGCCTACTCACCTCTTGGACCTCTTGGACTTCTGATTATCAACTTCTGGAATGCTTCTACTGTGCTACACATTCAACAGGACACCAAGACCTTGTTGATATTGGACCTTTGATTATTTTGAAGAAGCTAATTCAAGTCAACCCACATCATATGGATATGATGGGGTACTTGAACTATATCTGGATATGCTCCTTTTCTTGGATATTCTGCTTTGGGGGCCACTTAAACTTCTATTATTGGCAAAGACCTGCCCACGAGTCCCATTCTCTATCTGAATAATCCTGTCTTTATGGGAATAAATAAATAAATAATAAATCCAGTGACAAATCTCAAAATGTGATCATGATTGATAGCAGGGGCGGTATTTTTATTCCATGTCAGCATCAAAGACAGCAAAGGCAAAGGCAGCTTTGTTCAGTGGTTAAGTCTAAAGGCATTGGCATTCAAATCTTATTTCCTCCACTTTTTTGGCTAATCGACCTCTAGTTTTCTGTGTTTTATCTGTTAAACTGGGGTCTTGGTAGTGCTCATCTCATACGATATTGTGAGGAGTAAGGTAAATAATAAATATGACTACTTAGAGTAATGTCAAACATGTCATCATCACTTCATAAATGGTTAGTTATTACCATTATTGCTGGGGGAGAGAAAACAGGAGCCAGGTGAAGGACTGAAGAAACCGAAGCAAGAAAAGCATAGAGAAAAGGAAGAATTAAAAGAGTGTGAGAAAGAACATATAGAATGGGCATGGAACAAAAGTGGTGGATTCTTCCGTCTTCCATCCTAGAGGGTGGGTGGCTAGGCCCTTGCAGAGGCAGTCAGAATCATAATCACAAGTCAGGATAAGAAAGCAGAATTTGGAGTGTATGACTGTGAGTCTTGGTTCTTTGAGAAAACTTTTCCAATGTGGAAGAGTCATGAGTTTGAGTACCCAGACTTCTCTTATCTCAGTGATTTCAGAGGAATTCTATTGGATATGTCACTTGCAAATATCTTCTCCCATTCAGTTGGTTGTCATTTAGTTTTATGGACTTTTTCCTTCACTGTGCAGAAGCCTTTTATTCTGATGTAGTCCCAATAGTTTATTTTGTTTTTTGTTGCCTATGTCTCAGGAGACACATCTAAAAAAATGTTGGTAGGGCCAATGTTATAGACAAATTATTGCCTCTGCTCTCTTCTAGGGTTTCTATAGTTTCATGTCTCGCTTCTAGGTCTTTGACCCATTTTGAGTTTATTTTTGTGTATGGTGTAAGAAAATGGTCCAGTTTCATTGTTTTGCACAGAGCTGTCCAGTTTCCCCAACACCATTTGTTGAAGAAACAGTCTTTTTCCCATTGCATATTCTTGCCTCTTTTGTTGAAGATTAATTGGGCATATAACCTTGGGTTTATTTCTGGGTGCTCTATTATGTTCCACTGATCTATGTGTCTATTTTTGTGCCAGTGCCATACTGTTTTGATCACTATAGCTTTGTAGTATAACTTGAAGTCTGGGATTGGGATGTCTCCAGTTTTCTTTTTCTTTTTCAAGACTGCTTTGTTTATTTGGGGTCTTTTGTGGTTCCATACAAATTTTAGGATCGTTTGTTCTAGTTTGGTGGAAAAAATGCTGTTGGTATTTTAATAGGAATCGCATTAGATCTGCATGTGCTAGCACTCTGCGTAGCATCAAGAAACTGAAAACCTAATGAGAGGAGGGCAGGAAGGGTGGAGCAGAAAGAGCTCTACCCTTGGGATCAGAGGAACCCACATGCCTTTCCAGCCATACAAATATCAGGTTGTGAAACTTGAGGTGAATTGTTTAACTTGAGTCTTAGTTTATACTTTTTCTGTGTATAATGGGATTAATATTATCTATTTTTGCTTACTTCAGTGGCCTTAGTGTGGCTCACATAAGAATATAGGCACAAAAATGGCAGAATGCTTTGCAAATTAAGTGATATCAAGTGTCACCCTCCAGCCCTTCTCTGGACGACTCGGGACAGCCTTAGATTTTCACTTAGCTTCTGTCCAACTCTCTTCCCCATCTATTTGCATTTTTGTCTGTCATGTCAGGGTGGTTAGCACAAGATCCAAAAAGTTGTTATGCCTAGTTGGTGCAATCTCCATGAACCTCAAATTAAAGGAGTCACAGTCATGTGACTTAATTAGTCACATGTGACTATTAATTAGTCAAGTCAATTAAATAGTAACATTAATTAGTCAAATTAAATAGTCCAATTAATGAATTAATGAGATTTAATTAATTAAATAATCACATGTGACTATTAATTAAATAGTCAAGGGAACCAAAGAGACAAAGGTGTATTGATTCTACCTTTTTAGGAAATCCCAAACCACTAGATTCTCTGTGTTCTAACACATTCCAGGAATTTGCTGGTGAGTTTTTCAGAATGGGTAGGAGAGACTATAAGTAGATTTAGAAATGCCAAGCATAGCGGTGCCTGGGTGGCTCAATCAGTTAAGTGTCTGCTTTTGACTCTGGTCATGATCTTGGGGCTCTGGGATTGAGCCCCACATCAGGCTCCGTGCTCAGTGGGGAGACTGCTTCTCCCTTTCCCTCTGCCTGCTACTCCCCCTGCTTGTGCGCTCTCTGTGTCTGTCAAATGAATAAATAAAATAAATAAAATAAAACCTTAAAAAAACCCAAGTATAAATAAATAAATAAAATCTTAAAAAAAAAGAAATGTCAAGCATAGTCAATTTTTATATAGAGAATATAATTGTTTGGATTTAATGAGAAACTGCAAAGACAAACCCCTCCTAGATCTGTGTTGATGTTATACAGTTTTTTTTGTATTAACAACAACCAATATCCATGTGTCCTTATAGTTTACTGTTCAACTCTAAGAAAAACAAAATTTCAAGTTCATTTCTTTTTTGAGAGCTAACTTACTTATAAAATGGAGATAACAGTCTCTTCCTCATTTACTTTGGAGAGTTTCTGAAGAATAGAAGCAGAGTAATAACTCTGAATGTGCTTTGAAAATAAAGGGGACTTAGAGAGATGAAGATCTTACAATGATAATTATAGGTAAGCATTACTCTAACCTGATAGATAGAGTAATGAAATATAATTTGGAAGGGCGTATCCCTGTCAAAAACTATACACCCAAATCTAAAGCCAAAAAGAAATGATTTTAAGTTATTCATAGTTTTAGATGATATGTTCTTTTGCTGGGCTTTCTGGGTGGGCCTCCCAAGTGCGGACTATCCTGGACAGGGTTTGCAGACTGGGCACAGACAAAATTTAGAAACAAACTCAAAAGCTGAAAAACAGTTAGGTTTGGATCCTGTATCCCCCCAGACCGTTGAACACTTTTTGAGACCCTGGGTGTACTGGTTAAAGTACATGAAGAGGGCACTTCAATGTCTTCCTTATGGGCAATTTCTAAATCTTAACAGGAAACTAGGAGAGCATCGACAAGGGTCAGAACTCACAGGTTTGCAGGCAAAGGAGCAAGATCCACAGGTAGCGCTGAGCCATGTCCTTCTAGACTGTAATCCTGGGTGAACAAGAAGACGTTCCTCCAACAAAAAGCCCGTTGTAAGTAAGCTTCCCTGCTCAGTTTATAGTAACCACTAAGAAAGGAAGTGTGAGCGAGCCGATTGGAGAAACATTGGTCTATGTATTATGATGATAATTTTTTTCCTATTATATAATACAAAATGGTTAGCATTAATTAATTATTTATTCGGGAACTATTTGTTGAATGCATCCTGCACACCAAGCACTCGTCTGCAAATGGACACTAGACAGAGCAACAGGACGACTCATCCCTCTCCTTTCATGGAGCTCATGTTCTTGCTTTTAATTTAATTGCAATTAAACAGGCAATTCCCATATGTCTGCCAAGTGTTGCAAGAAAGAAAAATACTGGGAACTGGGAGAGCAGCAGGAGACCCTAACCCAGGCAAGGAGAGCGTGGGGAAGCCTTTCTGAAGGAACTGACAGCCCAGCTGAGACAGACTTGAAGAGCAAGTTAGCATTATTAGGTGAAAGGTGGGGGGATAGGGAATAAGAAGAATGTGTTGACACAATATGCACCCAATAAATGGTAGCGACTCACATTATGGAATTAGAGTTATATAATTATATTACGTATAATTCTACTCTACATAATTGTATTATGTGATTATATTGATTATATAAATTACATATTATGGGTATGCGTATGCTATATAACATACTGAATACAATTATATTATGATTAAACTACATGTAATACAGGAACGTTCTCTAGTAGAGGCCTGCACTCCCTGTTAGAAGAATGACAGGGGCCTTGTACGGGTGGGGGGTGTCAGAGGTGTTGTGAATAAATATTTGGGCTCATAAGCCAAGCAGTTTAAATTTGAACCCAGCTGTTTCAGGAAGTGCTGGGAGAAGCTGAGGACATGGCCCCTGAGACCTAACGGTAGTAAGATTGTGTAAAGGTTTTCCCCCTGAGAAGTGTCCTTCACCAGCTCCTGGGCCTCTAGAGTCATTCCTGAAACTATCGTGCTCATCATTCTTCCTGTATACTTGCTCAAAATTGAGTAGAGGAATACATTTATCTACATAAAGGTAGTATAGGGGTGACATAGACATCTGTTTGGGACCAAAGAAACATTGGAAATGGAAATGAAATTTCCCAATTTATTCATTTCATAAGATTGAACCATATTACTTTCATACTTCTAGCAAGATGTCTTCCTGAAATATGTAATTGCTACGGGTGTAAAACCACACATCTACCATCTAGTAATTGCCCAGAGAAGGAAGAAAGAAGAAAGAAGAAAGAATATGAAGTTGCCAAGAGCTGCTGAAAACCCAACTTTGTATTCTCTCTCCCTTTTTCTTTCTCTGTAGGAATGTTCAATCCTCTCTGGCCATTTACAAGCATTGCTTGGTCTCGTGTCTATGTCTTTAGAAATTCTATATTGGTATCTTACTCAAGGACATACCTCCTGTTGAACCTGGACCAGTGTCTTATGTTTGTCTTTCGGCCTTAGATCACCAGACCCAACTAGTAAGTTTTTATCAAGACGTTACTAATTTTTGACACCTCTTCTTTTAATAAAATGCAAAAAGATAAAAAAGTCCTCACATAGGGCACCTGGGTGGCTCAGTGGGTTAAAGCCTCTGCCTTCGGCTCAGGTCATGATCCCAGGGTCCTGGAATCAAGCCCCACATCGGCAATAATAGGGGCCTCTAGTGCCCCATTTACATCAACGCGTAGACCATCCAGATGGAAAACAATTAGGAGACATCAGCCTTAAATGACCCATTAGACCAAATGGAGTTAACAGACAGATACACAGAACATCCCATCCCAAAACAATAGAACATACATTCTTCCCAAGTACACATGGAATATTTTCCAGGATAGGTCCTATGTTAGGCCACAAAACAAGTCTTAATAAATTGAAGAGAATCAAATTCGTATCAAGCATCTTTTCTGACCACAATAGTAGGAAACTAGAAATTATGCAAAGAAAACTGGAAAAGTCTCAAATATGTGGAGATTAAAACATGCTGCTAAATAATCGATGGTTCAAAGAAGAAAACAAAAATGTTAAGGTATCTTGAGAAAAATTAAAATGGAAATATACCAAAATTTGTGGGATGCAGCAAAAGCAGTTCTAAGAGGGAAGTTCGTAACCATAAATGTCTATCTCAAAAAAGCAGATAAATAACGTTCTACCCCAAAGAACTAGAAAAAGAAGAACAAGTGATGCCTAAAGTTAGAGGAAGGAAGGAAATAATAAAGGCTAGAACAGAAATAAGTGAAATAGGGATGAAAAAGAAAATAGAGAAGAAGATCAACTAAGAGCTGGTTCTTTGAAAAGATAAACCGAACTGAAAAGACTCTCACCAGTCAAAAAAAAGACAGAGGGGTCGAATAAATAAAATCAGAAATAAACCTACACATATATGGTCACATAACTTATAACAAAGGAGCCAAGAATCTACAATGGGGAAAGACAGTCTCTCCAATAAATGGTGCTGGGAAAACTGAATATTCACATGCAAAAACTGAAACAGACCTCTATCTTACACCAGAGACAGACTAACTCAAAATATATTAAAGATTTGAATATTAAACCTGAAACCACAAGACGTGCAGAAAAAAACATAGGCAGTGAGCTTCTTGACATAAGTCTTGGTGGTGTTATATTTTTAATCTGGCACCAAAATCAAAAGCAACAAAAACAAAAACAAATGGGACCACATTAAACTAAAAAGCTTCTGTGCAGCAAAGGAAACCATCAACAAAATGTAAAAGCAACTGATTGAATGGAGAAAATATTTACAAATTATGCATCTGATAAGGTGGTAATATCCAAAATATATAAAGAACTCATACAACTCCATAGCAAAAAAAAAAAAAATCAATTAAAAAATGGGCAGAAGATCTGAATGGACCTTTTTCTAAAGAAGACATACAGATGGCCAACATGTACATGAAAAGATGCTCAACATCATTAGCCATTAGGGAAATCAAATTAGAGCCACAATGAGGTACTTCTACACATCCTTTAAAATAGATAAAACTAAAAAGACTCACTGGGCTGGTTACTTTTATATGTCAACTTGACCAAGCCAAAGAATATCCAGATAGTTGGTAAAACATTATTTCTGAGTGTGTTGTGAGGGTGTTTCTAGAAGAGGTTAGCATTTGAATTGGTGCACTGAGTAAATCAGAGGAAGGTTGAGTTGGCTCTCTGTGCCTGACTGCCCAGGCTGAGACATCAGTCTTTGCCCTTTGCCTGGGAATTACACCATCTATGCTCTGGGTTCTCAGACCTTTGAACTCTGACTGGAAGTCACACCACCAGCCCTCCAGGTCCTCCGGCTTGCAGACGGCAGACTGTAGGACTTTCAGCCTCCATCAACATCATGAGCCAATTCCTTATAATAAACCTGATTCTAGCTACCCAGGGAGATATCCAATTGGTTCTGTTTCTTGGGAGAAACCTGGGTCCCTGTAGCAAATGTTGACAAGGTTGTGGAGGAACTGGAACTCTTACACACTGCTGGTATATATGTTCCTAAAATGATTTCTGTAGACTGAATATTTGTGGCTCTGTAAAATTCGTATGTTGAAACCTAACCCTCAATGTGATGGTATCAAGGGGTGGGGGCTTTGGAAAGTGGTTTGATCATGAGAATGGAGCCTTCCTGAATGGGATTAATGCCCTTATAAAAAGGGTGCCGAGGGGCTCCTGGGTGGCTCAGTGGGTTAAGCTTCTGCCTTCGGCTCAGGTCATGATCTCAGGGTCCTGGGTTCAAGCCCCGCATTGGGCTCTCTGCTCAGTGGGGAGCCTGCTTCCCCCTCTCTCTCTGCCTGCCTCTCTGCCTACTTGTGATCTCTGTCAAATAAATAAAAATCTTTAAAAAATTTAAAAAATTAAAAAAATAAAGGGTGCAGAGAGCCTCTTCCTCTTTCCACCATCTGAAGACACAGCATGAAGACAGCCATCTACAAACCAGGAACTGGGTCATCCTGGCACTGAATCTGCTGGCACCATGACCTTGCACTTTCTAACCTCCAGATTGTGACAGATAAATTTCTGTTGCTTATAAGCCACTTGGCTTATAGTCTTTTGTCATAGCAGCCTGAATGGACTAAGACAATATTACAAACACTTTAGAAACCAGTGACAATTTCTTAACAAGTTTAACTTTACCTACCACATAATTCAGCTCTTCTACTTCTAGACATTTACTAAAAAGAAATGACAGGATGTGTCCATACAAAGACTTGCATCCGAATGTTCATCGCAACTTTATCTGTTATAGCCAAAAACTAGAAAAAAACCAAAAGCAATCAACAGGTGAATGGATAAACGAATGGTGTTATACTGATATAAGAGAAGACCACTCAGTAGTGAAACAGAGTGGTCTATTAACACATATGCCGGCATGTGGGAATCGGGAATCGCAGCGTAACCATGCCAAGTGAAAGAAGCCAGATACAAAGTATACTCTGAGTTCCAGCTAGAAAAAAATTTTAGAAAATGCAAACTAATCTATAGGGACAGAAAGCACATCAAATTTACCTGGTTCGGGGACAGGCGAGTAGGATCACAAAAGGCACAAAATAACTTTTAGCAGTGATGGATGTGCTCATTATTTTGGGTACAGTAGTTGTTTTGCAGTATATAGATACATAAATATATATATACATATTTTAAAATATGTATATAAATACGAATATATTTTGAAATATACATACACACATTTAAGCCATTTAAGCATATTTTGGAGTTCCCTACACATGTTTTCTTGAGTAGAGAGTGCTCTGGGAACCTGAAACTCAATTTACACTGTGTTCAATTTTGGTTGCAAGTTTGCAGATTGACTGAATATCCCCAAATGTCAGACTCTCAATATTACTGTTAGACATTTTATGTAATTGGTGTCACCTGTCCTTGGAAAATGATGGATCACTAGTGTGTCACCTAGTGAGTCCTAGTCCTTGAGCTTCTATCAACCAGTCGATACACCTGATGCCATCAAGCCTCCAACATAATTCCTGAATTTCCTTTTCATGTGAGCTCTGTGCACTAAGCACATTGTAGGTGTGGTTTGAGTGAGAGCGTGCATAATGATAAAAGGGAGGTGCAATCTGCTTAAAGGACGTAGTGTTCATAAAACTTTCAGGCACCTAACAGCATAGCATTTACATTCACGAAACAAAAATTGCTTGAAACACAATTAGAATTTGCCAGAAGGATGGCCATGTTTCTTTTTATTCAAATTGACCTGGCCCCTTGACATTTTCATGATGATGCCTGTGGGCCCTCTCACTGTAGTGTGTCCTTCTGATTTCTTCCTGGTGGAGCATTACACTCACAAACAGGTCCACCAGAAGCCACTTTTCCTACGGCCTCGTTCCTTCTCTCGCCAATATGTCATAATGCCTTAATTTACTGACCTACATCTGGAAACCAATCCATTCTATTAGTGATTGCACATTACATTTTAAGAAACATATACAAGTCCGTATTTTTCTACCAGTAATAAGAATTAACTAGTACTGATATCTCTACCTCCTAACAAAGTGAATCAGCATTTACTTCTCTCAGTAGGCTGGAATAATCACATGGTGAACTCTATGGGTCAATTCCTTGTTCTCCTCTTTCTAGAATAATCACATAATTTATCATCCAAACCAAAGGATGTTTGAGATTTAAAAGGGTACTTACCTAATTAATACTATTTGGTTTTCTGAAATAATAATATATGGGACGACAAATTGATTTTTGTTATAATGGTGAACTGGAAAAAGTTTCATAAAATATTTTCAAAAAATTTTGTCTACAAATAGACATAAATTTATGTCTAAATATTGGACATAATTTTAGTGAAAAATAAAATAACTGCTACATCACATACTTGATTGGCCAAGAAAATCAGCTAATACCAAGTGCTATTGAGGAATGGGGAAAGGAGGAGCTCTAAGGTACTGTCAGCAGGAGTATAAATTTTGCAGAACAATTGCATACATTTAGAGAGTTGAATATTTGCATAAATATTTGCATAGATATTTACATAAATTATGCCTCTCTTTCCCCCCCCTCCCCTCCTCCTATTCTCAGGTCGGAAGCGTGACTGCGGTAAAAGTAAATCTGTTATCTTGGTTCAATTTTTTTTTTTTTTTTTTTAAATTCTGAGCTGGGTCTTATCTTTGGCTGGAAACGTTCTACTTCATTTCCATTGTTACTTCCAACTTCTTGCGTAAAGTAAACCTGCTCTCCTCCTTCCCGAAGCCAGAGTTCGACTCGCGTCCTAGCTGCTTCCTGAGCATCTAGGAATGCTAGAATGTCCGCTCTCCTCAGCCGGTCGGTGCGGAGCTGATGAGAGTCCAGCCGCGGCTTCCGTGAGCCTGGACTCAGCCCTGCGGGTGCCGACCGGGAAGCGGTGCCGGTGATGCTGGCGCGGGGTGGACCGTATTGCTCCATCTCCCTCTAGCGGCTGCCGCAGGGAACGCGTCACAAAACCCTCTCTGGCTCTCGGGCTGCTCTTAGGGGGCTGGTTCGGACGATGTCCGCCCAGATTCCGTTCGGGTTGGAGGTAGGGTTTGGGCATCAGTGTTTTTTTTTTTTTAAAGGTATCCTGGAAACTCTGCTATTTATATCACCTTGGGAATATTGGCATATATACAGCTCTCTTCTCTCAGGGAGAGAGGCTCCCAACTTTGGTGACTTGGGGGCACAGAGCTAAACTAACCCTTGCCCACACCCTAGGAAAGGGACAGCGTCACAGCTCATCAGACCCAATCAGCCACCCGCTGGGTTTCACAGCTGCAGAGACACCAGGCAGTGGGACGTGTCTTGCCATATTGCCATCTTAGGAAACTTCTAGGTAACACAAGACAAAAGGGCACATTCCTTGATTGATTGTCCAAATTTTATTCATTTCCAGGAGGTAGAAACAAAAACTCAGGAAGAGACGTAGCTTACTGTCATCAGGGGTTCTCCAACGCGCCTAGGCCCCGTTGACCAATCACATGGGTTCGTAGGACCAGAGAAGTGTCCTCAGGAGGGACTACACCCCGCTGCATTTTGGAGCCCGGCCCCTTAATACCAGGAATGGTCTGTTCCTCTTGAGTTCTCTAAAATTCAGATATGCTCAATCAAAAGAAAACATTAGAAAAGAAACATGGGGAAGCTGGACTCTATAGTATCACTTTCATTTTTTAGGCCTGAGGAAAAAGAACACTCCAGCCCCAACATCAGTGCCTTGTGGGGGGAGGGTGTGAGCCGAGGGGTGCGTGCTTTCCCACGTGACCCTGGAGCCTGGTGGTGCGGAACCTGACATCAAACGTCATTTGAAGGACAGTCTGAAAGTCCACAAGATGCAGCCATCCTCCTCAGTGAGGTCTTGAGCCTCTGCTGGGGAATTTTGAGGGGAGAGCTTCCTCTCTCCTCCTTTCTTTCCTTCCTTCCATTGGGCAGAATTTGGCCACAAGGAAAAGCCAAGCGTGAGAACTAACGGGCTAGAACAATCCGAGCTGTGGTAAGGGTCTGAGTGCTCATCACCCCAAGGCTTACAGACCCTCGATAGTAGCTTCCTCGGTTTCTGAGAACAGACAGTGAGCCTACGTTTACACGACATACAGTGATCTTTTTTTTTTTTACACTTTTCGCCTGCTCAGCATTCCGTCTCACTTGCTTGTGTTTGTGGAATTCCCTAACTTGTAAAAGGCAGATCTCACTAACCACTGTGAAAGGGGAACATGTCAGATACTCAATTCCCAGCCTCCCTTGGAGGCAGAACATGGTTGCGTGACCTCGCCCTGGCCACTCAGTCCCAGAGTCCGAATTAGAAACTAGAAAGCAGGAGATGAAGAGACGCGGGAGAGGTCACTTTGGCGCAGACAGTCCGCCAGCAACCCTGAGTTTCCAGGTCCAGAGGAGGCAGGGTAGGGGTGGAGGAGCCGGGGTCTGGATCCAGGAAGACGACAGCCAAGCAGCTGGAGCCCGGCGTCCTTGCGCTGGAAAGTTGATGCCTTCACAGGGCTGCGACATGGCTGGTGATTTCTGAACCAGGGTTCACCAAGGTCTTCCAAGAACCGACTTAACCAGTTTCGCTAAGAGCATACATTGAAGCGGGCCTGCCTGAGAGCAGAGAATGGGGGAAAAAAGAGGACTTTGCCAAAAGAGGCTCTTTCTGTCTGCAACCTGCAATTTAAGTTATCCAGCATGCAATTATCGGACGCTGTTGGGTCACAATGTGTTAATTTTCTAGGGCAGGTTACATTTCGTGTGAGAAGGGGCGGGCAGGTGCCCGGTAAAGACCCGGATGACGGCGAGGCCATGGGTGTGAGCGGATTCTGAGCGTGGTGAGAGCATCTTAGCGGAGGTTCCGCAGGCGCTGTTCAACGGAGTAAACAGAGAAGTAGGGATTGAAAGATCACTTTGAGAAGTAAAAGGTCAGCCTGGGACAAGTCCTGAAGATGCCAAGTTCCTCAGTAACAGCGCCCCCAAACGCTTGTCACGTCTCTAAACCTCGGGGCATCAGCTCAGAATACCTTTAAGTATTCTTAAATTCTTAAATATTACATATGTAAGTATATGTGCTATATAATATTAAACTTAAATATTCTAGAATTTCTTAAGAATCTTGGGTGATTTTGTTTCCATTATTCAGAGCTCAAAGACTTCACAGTCACATTGTCAGTTTATTGACCCTTCAGCTTCTGGGTTTTGCAAATAAAATACTGACTCTATTAGCTTCTTTCATAGAATAATCTCAGAGTGCTCTACCTATGATAAGGAGTTCACCCTTCACTGCCCATCCAGAGAGAGAAAGCAAGGCACAGAGTCTTGATCAGGTCTGTGTGGATCAGGTCTGTGTGGAGCGGGGTCAGCTCCCGGGACCAAGCACAGGCAGCCAAGACGTAAAATGTTCCAGATGTTGTGGCTAGTGAGTCAGCTGTCAGAGGTACTGGAGGTCCCAGCTTCCTGCCTTTGGCTCTTATTGTCCAGTCCCAGCAAGGAGCAAGACACGTGGAGGTCTGGGCTCCCTGGACCCACGTTACTCATTCCGTCTGCTACACCACAGAGCTGGAAAGTTATCCTATAGTTCTCTCTTCCTGAAGAACAGGCTGAGTGCTCGGAAAACCTCAGTCCCTTGTCCATCCCACAGGTGGCTGCGGACAAAGCATCACCGAGGAGTTGATCTGAGAAGAGTACAGGTGTGCAGAGTGTCACGGGGAACTTGGAACTTGGGACCTGGAGCCAAGTTTGGTGTTTATTGTGGTCCCTCCAGATTCCTTCAGAATGTCCCTTCACTGAGTCTGTGGTGTCAGCTCTCAGGAAGTGTCACACTGGCATAGACTGTGATGGAATTTGATTCCTGGGGGCAAAACAGAAGTCTGTGAGTAGGGGCACCACCTTCACAGGCTACAAATGGGAACTGTGCTGCTTAGTAAAGGGAAAGAGTCTCAGATTTCAGGGGGTGCAGTGACCTGCTGGGAGGAGCACCCCAGGGCTCCAGATCCCGTTCAGGTGTGTGCACCCCATCATTCCCCATCAGGGACACCCAGGAGATGTTTCTCTTTGCTTTCTTCCCTGACCTTGCCTTATAAGGAAAACCATTTGTTTTGCTACTGGGCATGGGGCACAGTTGGGGAAGCCAAGAGAATCCTAATTCGCTGAGCTTTGGAAAGAGATAGTGAGACCCAAAGAGAGAAGGAAGAATTGGAGCAGAGAGGGAGGGAGGAGAGACAGGACTGCAGGCAAAGATGTCTTCTAGGTAGAGTAGATTCAAGAGTCAGATAAAGACGGGAATGGAGGAATTCAGGAGGTTTTGCTGTGAAATGTGAAATACAACAGGCTATTTTTTGATGAAGAAAACGTCACTAAAAATCTGCATTATTTCTTAAAGCTTTTTAAAGTTGGATTCATGTGTTTACTTCCCCATAGGAGAGGACAGTGTTCTGAGAATAGACCTCCAGATGCAGACAGGGCATCCTCCCAGGCATTCCCAGGCGTCTGTCCAGTAAGCACTTTGAGGCGGAGGGATCCAGGTAGGCATTTCTGTGGACTTTTGATCCTCAATTATCTTCTAAAATGCTTTATTTAACAGAACCCCACTGGAGCCAAGATATCAGCCCCGAATTTATCTCTGTCCCTTTAGGAAAAGGAACAGTTGCTGTCGGAAACCTGACCCATGCTGATCTTGCAGTGGGGGTAGATGGCAAGGCTCCGCCTGGCTGCACACCACACTCTCTTCGGACTCATGCCAGGCACCGCTCCACTCCTACAGACTCTGATGTGGCTGGGCTGGATGGAGCCCCCGCATGAGCCCTTTTTACAAAGCTGTCCTGCGATGCTGTTATGCAGCTGAAGTCAGGAGCTCTTGGAATCAAGATGCACATCGCAAAGGTGAACATGCTCTGGGACCCATTGGGGAGGTTGCTTTTTAATGTGTAGAGGCCTGGTTGCTCACCACGGACATTCTGACTGAACAGAATCCTAGGAGAAAGCTCCAGAAATCTTTATTTTTAGCAAATATGCCAGCTGATTCTGATGACAGCTTTTTGGACAGCTCTCAGAGAAACACAAGTGAACAGAGAGAGAGCTGTGTCCCCATGTGAGCAGACAGGAGGGGCTCCTGGAAGTCCCACAGCCAAGGCCACGGAGGATCCCTGTGACCCACTTGCTAGGGCCTGCCTTCTCCACATCAGGACTGTTTTATCTTGGCTCTGCCCGGGTCCCACCACTCCCTTCCTCCACCTCTTCCCTCCCTGCGGAGAGGAGGCGCCGAGAGATGCCTCACCTGGACAGGGTCTGGGACAGGTTCTGCAGCAGCGACGTAAATGGTGGTGCAGGGGTCCTGAGCTGGCAGGGGATCGGGTTTCTTCTGAACAGACTATAAGAGAAGCAAAGAGGAGGAAATCAGCTGAGCAGAGTCGTTTCCATCCGAGTCTTCCCACGGAGAAGCACAAGATCCAGAAACTTGGAGCTAGAAAGCCCCTCCGGTCTACTGGCCCAGCCTCCTTCTCAGGTGGAAATGCTCCTGCAGATTCCCCAGAATTCAATTCCCAGGGTTTTGCTTGGACTCCCCAAGTGGCCTCGCGGAGCTCACAGCCTCGAGAGGCAGCACACTGCACCAAGAACACTCCCCAGATATTTTAAGTCTTCCTCGCAGTGAACCGGAACTGGTGTGGCTGTCACCAGCGCAGTGGAAGGGAACGGGATCTTCCTAACATTTGTCTGGCTCCTGTCGCCTACAACACACCAAGTTCATCCCAGCACACGCTGCTGCTCCCACTATTCCAGACTCTGACATGGTTTCCTGTGACGTCTCTCTCCTGCCCCAGTGATGGACTTCATAGTAAGCATACATTTCTGGGTGTTTACAGTGTTTTCCACAGGTGCCACATTTGTCTTCCGCCAACTCTGCACATTAAATCCCATTGTCACAGGTGGACAAGCGAAGGCTCCAAAAGACTTAGTACTTCCCTATGTGCATGTGTTAGAAGTATCAAAGCCAGGAGTCCCCAGAGACCCGTCAGGTTGAAGTGCCTGGTCTTCTCATCAGGCTGTTCTTCTTTGCTTACCCCAACTTGTAATGACCTCTCCTCTACCTGAATTCCCCAGATATTTAAAGCCTAATGCATACATGATGGCACATAACTGTATGATATTTAAAACACTCTCACTTATTTACATGTTGTTTTTCAAACAGACTAATTATTCCCATATTTCTTCCCATTCCCCACAAAAGTAGTGCCTCATACATTTTTAAAAAATCAGTTGATGTTACTTTAAATGACTTACAATCCATAATACCAGGATGAAGTCAATGTAGGGGTAAATTGAGACCACATCCCCGTAAGACAGAGGTAACAAGACTTATGCCAGGGAAGTCATCCTTTCAACACGCTTCAGGACTCTGGTCTAGCATAGTGCTGCCCCCCACTTCTCCTGGATGTAGAGCAAGACCAGAAACTAAACATGGGTTTTAACCTGAAGAAGCTCAGAATTATAGAATTGAAAAAGTTTCCTGGAGGAAAGAAGATTCAAGGTGGGACATGATCTTTCTCTTTATATATTTGCTGGATTGTCTTGAAGAAAAGGAATTAGATTGGTTCTGTAGAGTCCTTCAGGGTTAAGCCAAGGTTGAGATTTGGAAGAAACATTTTGTTTCAACGTCGTGAAGATCTTTCTAATACTAAGAGATGCTCAGATATGGAGTGGATTGCCTTGGGAGGCAGATAATTCCCCATTACCAGAAGTGCCTGGGGTAGACCAGGGCTTCCCACACTTGAATGTGCATATGCGTTACCTGGGTGTCTTGATAGAAGGCTGGTTCTCTTTCAGAAGACTTGGGGTAAGCCCTGAGCTTCTGCATTTCTAATAAGGTCCCAGGTGATGCTCATGCTGCTTGTTCACAGACTGTATTTTAGTAAAAAGAAGCCAGCCAACACTTTGGAAGTAATAATGAGAAGATAACTCAAGCAGTAATTGAGTCATCAAATAGATGACTTTCAAGATCCATACAACTCAAAGATGCCATATTTTGGAGAAAAAAAATGAATTTAAGGGAGAAGTACTTTTAATAATGAGATAGATGAAGACAATGTGAAACAATTTAATTAAGAAACCTTTATCCACTCCTGCCTGTCTTCCTGTCTGCAAGGACTTTGGTATGACCTGACTTAAGGGCACGGGGGAGAAGTTAATAACTTACACTTTTAATATTTAGTTAAGAAGTTTTGGAAAGGAGGAGAAAAGCATAAAGGAAACCACTTATAGTCTTTCCACTTTAACACAACATGGTTAGCACATTGTTAATGCTCCCTTCAGGATTTTAACCAGGACTTAAGGAATTCTCTTAAACACAGTTGTAATAACTTAGTACATTTTTTAGGCTGGTGTCTTCAGTTAAGGCATGAGTCCAGGGAGCCTGACTTACGAGAAGCCCCAGGGGTGTTATTCTCACATATTCTTCATAAGCAGTGTCCCCCAGAGTTGTACAAGGCAACAGTCCTGATAAGACCTATGAGAGTTCCCTAGTGGGTAGCAAATGTGTGTTACATAATTTCCCTGTTACCCTAGTCTTTATAATACCACCATTATGAATAAGAACAAGGGAAATATTAACATTTTATCATTGTCCACATTATTAGTCTTTATATCATAACATATAGCTTTGCAACTATGAACAAAGAGAACTGTAAAAACGTAGGCAAGTGTAAATGCATATTGATGTGTAAAACAATGACAACTATGTCTCCCACATTGAAAACATACATAAAATTAAAATAATGGTCAAAAAATGTACATAAATCAGAGGGTGAAGTTAAAGGGAAGATGACGTATTGTCCAGGAAGAGACTAAATATTAGACTTTGGTGACTCAAAGATGTATTTTATAATTTCCAGGTTAGCAACTAAAAAACAGGAAAAAAGGTTGCTTAATTAACAAAAGGGAGGAGAATGGGATAATAAAAGTATAATTTAAAAGATTCCTCCCTCAGAGGAACCCCTGATTCAGATAGCTTCACCCATGAATCCTACCAAATATTTAAGGGAAAAATAATATCAATCCTGCCCAAAGGAAATATACCCTGTAGGAGGTTGAACTGTGACCCCCAAAAGATAAATCCATCCAGAATCTATAAGTGTGACCTTATTTGGAAGAGGGTCTTTGCAGATGTAGTTAAGGCAAGGATTTCAAACTCAGGTCCCACTGGATTAAATCCAGTGATGAGGGTTCTTGTAAGAGACAGGAAGGGAGAAGACCCAGAGAAACAGGGAGAAGAAGTGTATGTGGAGGTGGAAGCAGAAGTTCTATAGCTACAGCCAACGGTTCTCAAAGGGTGCCTGGAACCATCAGAAGTTGCGAGAGGCAAAGCAACACTTTCAGAGGGAGCATGGTCCTGCCCACACCTCCATCTTGGACTTGTGGCCACCACGACTGTTAGAGAATGACTTTATAGCTTTAAGTCTCCTTGTCTGCGGACGTTTGTTATAGTAGCACTAGGAAATGAACCTGCACTTCTACTCATTTTGTCAGGTTAGCATAATATTTGTTCAAAACTTCGCTGGGGTGTCACAAGAGAGGAAAATTGTAGGCCAGTTGCATTTGGAAACCAAACGGGTCAGCAACAGCATCCTCTCAACAAAGTATTAATAAAATAAGACCCAGCAATATTTAAAAAGGACCAGACTACATCATTTCTGTTCCAGGAATGCGAATGCAGTGTAGTCTTTGTAGATCACTGTGGTTCTGTGGATAAATAAAAAAGATCAATATAAAAAATCCAGAATTATATCAACAGATGCAGAGAGAGTGTTGATAAAATTCGATGTCTATTCCTTAGCAAACTAGGAATAGAAGAGAATGTTCTCAGTCAGGTGAAAAGGTAGCTATAAAAGCCTTCAGCAAAAACCATACTTGATGGTCAGATGTTGAAAGTTTCCCTTTTGGGTTTGGAACATCCAAGGATGCCTCTTTTAACACTTCCATTCAACACTTGGTAGGGTATCTCAGCCAGTAAAAACAGGAAGAGAAGTTATGTGACTTGAAAATGAAGAAATATACTATAATTTCTTTTTACAGATGATACAATTGTGTGCAGAGAAAATCTAAGTCATCTATAGATAAATAACTAGAATTTATAAGTGAGTTTAGCAATGTTGCAAATATAAGGTTAAAATACAAAACTTAATTGTATTTCTATGTATCAGTAACATATAGAAACTCAACATTTTTAAAAAGATAACGTTGATGATAGTATTCCAGAAATCTCAAATGCTCAAATTCCAAGTAATAAATTATGATGGACAAGTCCTCTTATGCAAAAAACTATAAAACATCATTTAGAGAATTTAAGAAGACCTACATGAAGGAAAAGATGTCTTTTTCTGTGAATGGAAAGGCTCATTACTGTAAGTAATTATAGTCTTCTCAAAGTGATCAGTGCAGTTCTGATGAAAATTCCAGCAGGATTTTTAGGTGGAACTTGACAAACTGAATCTAAAATATATATGAAAAGCAAATGACTGAAATGGCCAAAAACTCTTGATGAAGAACAAGAACAAATGAGAAGACATTTTGCAGGACATCAAACTTGTGATGAATCTGTAACCTACAATGAATTTGTAAAGACTGCGTGGCACCAGCACAAGCGTAAACACATAGGCAAAGGGTGCAGGATAGAGAACCAAACAATACAGGGATCCTCACATATACAGACCCTTGGTTTGTGATGAAGGCAGCACTGACAGGAGCAAGGGGAATCTTTTCAGTATGTGGTTGATAGGACAACCATTTGAAGAAAAATGTAACCTGACCCATCTCACACCCTACTCCAAAAGTCATTTCAGGTACATAACAGATATAAATGTGAAAGATAAACAACACAGCTTTTAGAAAATGATAGGATATCTTCATTACCCAGGAGTACAGAACGATTTCTCAAACAGGACACAAAAAACATTATCTGTAAAGGAAGAGATTACTGAATTGCTCTACACTGCAGTTAAGAACCTTTCTTTATCAGGTGTCACTGAGAAATTGCAAAGGCAAATCACAGAATGGGTGAAGGTATCTGCTAAAATGTAACTGCCAAAAAAATTTTTTTTTAATTAAAAAAGAAAACAAAGTGTAACTGCCAAAAAGCTAAAAATATTTAAAGAACTCATACTAATCACTTTTTAAAAAGCCTGAAATTCGGGCACCTGGGTGGCTCAGTGGGTTAAAGGCTCTGCCTTCAGCTCAGGTCGTGATCCCAGGGACCTGGGATCGAGCCCCATGTCAGCTCTCTGCTCAGCAGAGAGCCTGCTTCCTCCTCTCTCTCTGCCTGTCTCTCTGCCTACTTGTGATCTCTCTCTGTCAAATAAATAAATAAAATCTTAAAAAAAAAAAAAAGCATGAAATCCAAAGGAAAATGGGCAAAAGATTGAACAGGCACTTGAAGACAGAGGATATTAAGATGACCAATAAATAAAAGAAGCATTGTCCAACTTCCTTAACAATTAGGGGATGCAAAATAAAACTATAAAAAGACACATCCCAGGGCGCCTGGGTGGCTCAGTGGGTTAAAGCCTCTGCCTTCGGCTCAGGTCATGATCTCAGGGTCCTAGGATCAAGCCCCACGTCGGGCTCTCTGCTCAGCGGGGATCCTGCTTCCCTTCCTCTCTCTCTGCCTGCCTCTCTGCCTACTTGTGATCTCTGTCTATCAAATGAATAAATAAAATCTTAAAAAAAAAAAAGACACATCCCACAGAATGACTAAAATTTAAAAGGCTGATAACACCTGGTTTTGATTAGAATGTGTAGCTGGCCTAAAAGTAAATTGGTGCACTCACTTTGAAAAGCAGTTTGGCCTTATCTAGCTAATTTGAGGATATGCATACTGTGATTCAACAATTCTACTTCTAGGTACATACCCAACAAAATAGTGCACGTATCTACCAAGAGACACACATGTGAATGTTCATAGTTGGAATTTTTATAATAGTCTCAAACTGGAAATAACCCAAATGTCCATCAATAGTCAACTACCTAAGTGAACTCTGGTATATTCATGCATCGATGTTCTATAAAGCAGTGAAAATGAATGCATTATATCCAAGCACAAAGAAATACGAATCTCATGAAAGTACTACTGAGGGGGAAGAAAACAGACCCAAGAGGAAAAATACTGTAGAATCCCATTTTTATAAAGTTAAAGAGAGAGAGCATGCACTAAAATATATTTTCAGAAGTCAAGATAGTGATATGTCTGGTGAGGAGAGAGAGAATAGAGATGAAGGGGTAGGCACAGGAGGTCTTGTGGGGGTTGCTGTCAACGTTCTGTTCCTTGATCTGGGTGGTACTTCTATGGTATTAGAGTACTCAGTACTGAAAGAAGTAATTTCTCCTCAACTAGATCTGTAGATTCCATGCAATCTTAATAGGAATTTTTCCTTTTTCTGATACTTGAGAAGCTGATTCTGAAATATGTACAAAAGTATAAAGGGACAAGACGAAAAGTGTTGGAGAAAAACAGGTGGGAAGATCTGCTTTAGTAGATAACACGATAGGGTAATTCATTGAGTTGACATTTATACCTGGTGCACTGCTGGGATATACGTCATAGTTTACAGTAAAAAGAACAGCATGGGATAGAGTAGATAGGGAAGGCACTATCCTAAAGTTGAAACTGTTTACCTAAATGTGTAGTTGCAAAGGTGGAGTTCGCTCTTGGGACTCCTGTATTTAAATGGAGCTTGGTTCTCAGCGGTGGAGATGGCCTAGGCATTAAACCCTCCAAGCCACTAGGGGGCAGCAGAAATAAGAGCTTTGTCCTAGAGTCTTCTGAATGGCCATATTCTGGCCTGTACCGTTACCTAGAATTGCCTTCATGTCTGAAGAACTGGAATATCTTCCCATGTAACCATATTCCTTTAGCCTCCCTCTTCCTCTAACAGTTCTGCTCCTCAGCTTCACCATGGCTAGTTTTTCATCCCTCTCCCCTAGTCCAATCACTTTCAGTCAAGCTTTGCCTTCTTTCTTCTCCACCTGTATAGCACCTTCCATCTCCCCAGCCAAAGTCCTCTGTCTCCATGGTGCTTTGTAAACTCCTACACTTCCAGACCAGCACATCAGACAGCAGCCTTTCTGGACCTTCCCTCTGCTCTCAAGCCTGCACCCCTGTCCCTAGAGAGGGGAGAGGTTGGTAACAGGGAGCCACAGACACTTGGAATGCCGGGGCTGGAGGGAGTCATGTGTCATGTGCTTCTTGCTTCCTCATTTTTCCCTTATGAAGACACAGATGACCAGAAGATTACCCCGAGATTTCCACTATTTCAAGTAACAAATAGTCCCATCTAGCACTGAAGTTTAATGCATTTTGCAAGGTGGACTGGCCAGGAATCCCACGGGAAACAGGACAGGCCCACCCCACACAAAGAAAATATAGAACTTACCCCTGATTTCTGGACTTGGGCATAAATAGTAAGGCTTTTTGCTTCCATTGTTGGCTGGTATTGATTTGCTTTACCTGAGGAAAAGAAACCACAGTGGTTATCTCTGCCTGACCTGCCCACAAACTCTGCTTGGACCTGTGTGGTCTATACCCCCCACCACATACCCACCTTCCCCAAGCAATCCCAAAGGATCGAATGCCAAGTCCCAACCCGGCCCCACCTCCATATGTGTCACATGACCTTAAGTTAGTTACTTCATCTCTCTACTTCAACTTCTCCATCTGTGAAATGGGACTGAAGTATCTGCCCCCCAGGGTTGTTGTGGTGATCACAGGAGATACTATTTGTAAAATGTTTAGAAGAGTGCCCGGCACATAGTAAATTCCCTGCATGTGTTACATGCAATTGGAATGCCATCCAATTATTTTAATCTCTACTGTTTAATGTGCATATCTGGTCTCCTAATAGGATTCTGAGTTCTCTGAGACAGGGCTCATTATCCTTTTGTACTCTCCCGCTTATCGTGCATTGCCTCACTTGGCTATCTCACCCCTCTGTTTCTGGGGTCCTTGATGACCTCTTATCACAACCGTAAAAGATGTAGACTGTGCACAGGACTGTGTCCTGATGCACGAAGTTATCCTTTGTTAACAGGACGTCATGTACTTACATCTGCCCTAACGACTATTCCCAGCTGCTTCTAGTGCTGCCCCCTGCTGGCCATAGGGCTTAAACATTGACGTGTTCCTTCACTCCATTAAAAGATTTTCCCATGGGTGTATGTGTCCATCCATCCATCCGTCCATCACACACCTGTTCATGACCCGTTGTCTAACCATGGATGCCACTGTATTGGGTACTTTCTGTGTATGGACTCATGGGTCCCCACAACACCATGTAGTCCATAATACCATCCCCGTTTAGCAGAGAAGAGCTCATTCACCGAGTCACACAGCTTGTCAGGGCGAAGTCTGCATTTGAATGTGCGTTTGTCTGATGCCAAACCTTGTGTTTTTAATGACTGTATTCTGGATATGAAACTGCCAGGGAGACCATCTGAAAACCTTCGGAGCCAGGCAGCACTTTGGAGGGGACGGCGTTAGAAGGTGCCAACGGAACCTCTTGAGCAAAGTCTTGCAGAGGGCACAGCAGTTAATACAGGTTTTCCCTCAGGTTTGAGGCAAGGCTTTCATGTTCCTGGTTTACAAGGAATACAGGGCGGCTGGAGACAAGGATGGCTATGTGTGCAGAGGTGGGTGACGGGGACTTGTTTGGAGATGGGGGGCATCATTCCCTTCAGAGCACAACCATGCAAAGGGCAGAATGTGGTTGAGGAAAGAATGTGAGTTAGGATGCCCGCACCCACACTCAATAGGTTAGCATGGCTGCGTTAATCTCTGTTTTCTTGATCCTGGTATCTCACTGTTTCCTTATTATCCAAGCCAAATGTGGGTGCCCTGCCCCCACTGCCTTAGGCTCTTATCACGGTTTCTGTCTGAATCACCCTTCCCCCACACCTCACCATCTAACTCTTAGTTGGAGGAAATGAGATAAAAGTAGGTGGCTGTGCTGTGATGTAGACTTTCTTACACAAGCAAACCCAACGAGAGTGCTGTGGTAAGGGCTTTTTTGAGAAGGTTACACGTGAGAACACTGATCTACTTGAGAATAAGATCAGCCATCAAGTTGGTGGTGTAAGGACCAAGTCCTGTCCTCACCCTGGGAGGGCCAGTCCGGGGACCTGTCCTAGCCTGGGGGCAGGACCTTCTGACTCTGGTGTGGGTGGGTGATGTAAGTGTGGCCGAGCATATTGCCCTGTGATGTGGAATCAGGGGACATCTTGGAGGGGCGGCCAGGAGACACATCCTCTAGACACTTAAACTGCAAGGGGAGAACTGGGCCTTAATAGCAACCCCGGGTGATCTTTCATACTTTTTAGTTTGGCCTTAAGCAATCTCACAACTTGTACAGTTTCCCAAGATGAGTCAGAATTTGTGCAAAAATCTTGGTAAAGAGCGTTCCCTCTGCTGTGGGTCTTCCCAGGGACACGTGAGCCTTGCTGGTGGCACGTGGTCTGGTTCTTGGGAGACATAGTTACAGCTCTGGTTCTCCTATATCAAACTGGGTGATCTTGCACAAGTCATGTGGCTTCTCTGTGCCTCTGTTACCCCACTGCTAACTCCCACAGAAACAACTAACTTACTATTCTCAAAAGGATAGTAGAAGAATAAAAAGAGATTGTAGAAAGGTTTTAACCCTTGGATGAAAACATCTTATTGTAACGTCTTTTTTTAGGTCCGTAATTATAACTTTTCTTGAATGAGATCCAAGGGTCCCCTGGATTCTATGTCTGGCGAACATTGTCAGGTTGTCTTGCTGGACCCCTTCAGCATCCTGTACCTTCCTCCCGTGCAGTACTAGTGATAGTGAATGTGAATGACCTGTGTCGTGTCTCCCACGTTCAACCCCTGGGGCTCAATCCTCTTTCCAACCCCAAGGCCTAATTAGGGCTCAGGACATACCGAATTAGACTGAACTGAGCAAGGTCCCAGGTATGTGCATTTAGTGTTATTGCAAAGGTGTTTCCAGCAGAGAGCCGGAATGGGGCAAGCAAATCTTTGCCTGTGTGGAGAGGTTCCCTGTTAACCACAGAGTCTGATACGAATCTCTTTATTGTCAGACACGTACCTCTTCTTCTCAACAGCAATATTACCACCTCAAGAATCAAGACAACACCAACGATGCCCCCTATGAACAGCCCAGCATAAAGTCCCCATGGTGTTGATTCTGAAAAAAAAAAAGTCAAAGGGCAAATTCAACAGTACTGTAAGTTTAAAAACATCCTTCACGGAAGTGGGGAGACCAAGCCCCATGTTCTCTGTATTGTCTCAGGGGACACATCCATTCTGATGGCTTCAGACAGCAGCTGCAGACCGCTGATGATTTCCTGCCCCTTCTCTTATCCTAATTTCTCTCACCGTATTGACTTTCCTAATTGCCTATGGGACTGCCCTAGCTTCCATAGGGATTTTTCTACTCAAATGTTTGATTTGCACCTGGATGACCACATACCCAAAATCAGACTCATCGTTGTCTGTCCCGGGTCAACATCTCTTGCCCGTCTCCCTGGTTCTAGGTCTCTGGGCGGTCCTGCTTCCGTTTTGATAGAGAGAACATGCTGCTTCCATCTGCTGTCCCCACACTCCCACACCACGCTCATGTGATGCTGGGAGGAAGAACAACTGACTTTTGTTCTTTAAAAATAAATATAATAGTGCTATTATTGTCCTCCCATGCAAATAACTGTATTGAATCCACTGAACCTGAACCGGAAGAAAAGCATGTATGTCTTCCTCTCGGATTCCGGTGCTTAATACAGGTCCTAGAGTAGCAGTCAGCAGGCGCAAAGTCATGGAGCCACTTTTTTTTTTTCTTTCTCTCCTATACCCAGTTCTCTGAATCCTTCCAAGCCAGGAGCAGTACCTTGGAAAACAGTGAATGAGAACTAATGCCCCAGCAAACGAGACATTCATCTCACTGAGTGAATAACAGACAACTACCGGAGCATCGTCAGTGGCCCACGTTTTATTTTTAGTGCCTTGTGTGTGTTAATGGTTTTAATACTCCTGATAATCCTACAAGGTAGTTACTCTCATTACTCTGATTTTGTGCAAAGGAAGCAGGCACGGAGACCTTCACATACTAGAGCTTGGTCTGGGGGTAGAAACGTGGCTGAAGGCTGAAGACAGGCTTCTTGGAGAGTCAGCAAGGCTTATGGGCTTGGGGTGAGTTACTGCAGGGTAATGAACAGTGGGGTCAGCCTGAGGCACCAGGATTCTAAGTAAAGTAATAGCATTAAGGATCTAACTACAGTTGACCCTTGAATGACATAGGGGTTAGGAGTACTGAGCCCCCTAACACCGTTAAAAACCCATATGTAACTTCTGGTTCCCCTAAAACTTAACTGTTAATTACCTACTATTAGCCAGAAGCCTTCCTGATGACATAAATAGTTCATCAACACATACTTTGTATGTTATATGATTATGCACAGTATTCTTACAATAAAGTATGCTAGAGAAAAGTAAGTGTTAAAGAGCCACAAGGAAGAGAAAGTACATTTTCATTACTATACTTTATTTGTCCAAAAAAATCTGTGTATAAATGGGCCTGCCTAGTTCAAACCTGTGTGTGCAAGGGTCAACTGTAGTATGATAGCAGGTGTTAACATTAATGTGTCAGGATGATTGTGGAATCAGCCTGCTTGTTGGGGAACACGGGGTGGGGTTCTGAGGGAGAAGCTGAAAGGAATAGGTGGTTTACAGAAGAACAGAGTCCTTGTAGACCCAAGATATTCACAGAGTGGACCAAAGCTACAGGCTCACCTACTCACATGGACTAAAAATGACTGTGCCCCAGCCCTCTGTCTTTTCCAGGGAGTCAGGAGGATGAAAGCCATCTGCTACCCTTGTCCTGTAACATAAATACCCAGCTTCTGCCCGTCAGCTGAACCTGAGAGGCAAGCTGGCCTTTGTCCTGAGACATAGTTCATAAACCCTAATGTTTCTCCTAGTCTTTGGACACAAAGTATTATGAATCTGTTCAAGATTTAAGTGATACGTCCACAGAGGCTTCTAATTGTTAAAGGAGCTATTGTGCTTTCTTACCCTACTCACTAATGTTATGTTGAGGAAACTGAGATTCAAAGGTGTCCCCAGAGTCACAGAGAAGCCGATGGCAGAACTGAGCAGAATGAGAACAGTAGACTCGACATTTGGGTTTTTGCCTATGGTGATGGACCCCCACAAGGAAAGCCCTGGGAAGTGCCCATGCCGTCGATGTCTTTCCTCCAACTCTTGCCCGTTCTTGTCCTCTGTGCTGTGCCCCCTCCCCTTCCTCAACCTTCAGCTGCCCACCAGGCCTGTCCAGTGCTGACCCCCAGGCCAATCCTATCCTCTCTGTGTCAGTTTCCCCTGACCATTCCAGCTCCCATTATTCCCTCGCCCTGGGACTCTGCAGCACCTTGGTTTACGTCATGTGCCTTAGAACCTGACTTGCGACACTACCGTTGCTGTGTAGACCATTTTCAGCAAGGTCATTTGGAACCAGCTAGGTGGATTCAGATTCTGAACCTACCACTTGATAGCTCTGTGAACTCAGACAGACTGCTCATAACCTCTGGGGCTTCAGTCTTGATTGCAAAATGAGCCCAACAATATTTAGTTCACAGAGTCTTTCTAAAGAGCAAAGGAAGTGGGTGCCTGGGTGGCTCAGTTGGTTAAGTGACTGTGTTTGGCTGAGGTCATGTTCCCGGAGTCCCGGGATCAAGTTCAGCAACGGGCTCCCAGCTCTATGGGGAGGCTGCTTCTTCCTTTGACCCTCTCCCCTCTCAGGCTCTCTCTTACTCTCTCTCTTTCTCTCTCAAATAAATAAATAAAATCTAAAAAAGAAAAAAAAAAAAAAGGAGCCAAGGAAGGAATGATGGGAGGTGCCCAGAGCAATGCCTGGAGGACAAATGTGGTGCAGAAATGCCAGCTCCTTCCCCACCTAGCCGCTAGCCTCTCAGAGGCCAGAGGCCACACCGCTATGTCTTCTGTGGCTGTCTTAGGACGTGGCGCACAGTACAGGAAGGACGGAAGATAGGTCTGATCTCACATCCAGAGAGGCCCCTCACTGATGTTCAGAGCCACTGCAGCCCCATCCTGTTTGCTTATGACTCCGTTTCCCGATCTAGCGGGTCCGAGTGGTCTGGCACACGGTGCTCATCTGTTTGGTACTACTATCTAGGGATAAGAATGTTCATATGGAAACTGAATGTCAGAAACTCTATGCCCTTAAAAAATTGGATAAATATGGACAAAATGGTATTTATGGCTTGCTGGGGTTAGGCTGCCCATGATCCCTGCAATTTCTGGTAACAGCTTCCTGTGGTCCTCCAAGTCTTTGCTTGCGTGGCTCTGCTTGCCGTAGTCTGGGCTATCCTGGGTGCAAGGCGCAGTGCCTTCATCACTTTCCACACAAAAGAGCCAAACACCTACACTACAAATTTTGTGGGTATGATTCCGCTACTGAAAAGCTGGAAGGTCACAGGGAGCAGATTCCATGGTGAACTGGGCTGGTGTCCACAATCTGACAGGCTCAGACCCTCTTTTTCTCTTCCTACACCTGCACAAGCCACATCTGTCCTCTTTCTCATACAGAATCATCTAACCCATGGCTGGATTCCTTGGGGAGGGTCTCACCTTCTGCCCTCTAACATTTAAAGTAAGGTACCTGTTCCTTGCAAGAAGAATTCTAGTAGACGTTTCTTAAGATGATGATATTTTTCTACCTAGTAAGGTATAGAAATCACACCTGGATTGTAAATGCTTGAAGGTAGACCCTGTTCCTTATGGTTTATTTGCTCTGCCCCCCACAACCTGATATGATGTAGGGTTAAGGGGCACTTAATAAGCACATGATGAAGGAAGGTAAATTAAATTAGAAGCCGCAGAACAAAGCTGGGGGAACACTATCCTCTATCCTCTATCCTTTGGTTAAGAATGATCACAGCGCTGAGTATCAGAAGGTCTCAGAAGGAATGCAGGGTCACTTCTGAAAGGCTCAAAGCAGGAATGGAAGGGAATGAGTGATGACCTACTTAGCCTATGCTTCATAACAATGAAGTGGAACCAGGAAGAGAGGGAGTGCCTGTGCCCTCAGCACCACCTGTGCTCCCATTTTCAAACCACCGTTTCCTGTGACAGAAAACTCCAGCTCTCCCTCTTCTTCCTCGGTGAGGACTCTCAGAATGGCGCTGCTCAGCAATCGGAGAAATGTCCTTCTGGGGCCCATGGGCCCCATTGTTCATGCACAAAGAAACCCAATCTGAATATTCCTATGCTTGAGATTGGGGCCTTTATCCCCCTGGAGCCTCCTAGAAGCACCAAGGAGGCTGACTGAGAACTCCAGTGCCATTTACGAGGAGTCCCCACCATTTGGTCCTAAGTCCTCTTGGCTGTGGTTTAAACCATGACAACTTGACAAGTAGCCATGCCTCCAGGGAAAATACTGGAGGGCCTGTTTTCTCTCTAAGAGTCTGCTGCCACAGAAACACAAAAACTTCTCTTCCTCCTCAAGTCCACAAAACTTATTCTTTAAGGAGAAAAAGAAGTAAACAGAAAAGACTGAGAAACAAATAAAGTTTGCTCCCAGGAGATCCGAGATGCGACCATAACGGTCTGAGAATGCCGATCTCTTTCCTGCCTTTCATGTGGTTTTGTCAGCAAGGCGGTCTGCAAGGCACTACCTGAAGAAGTCAGCCATCTTCAAAAAAGAACACCTTCTTGTTGATGATGGCTTCCATGCAGAGTTGGGGGTGGGGAAAGGATGCTCACACAAACCATGCACTAATTTAAGATCTGGGACCATCCAAGTACACACTTTCACAGAGTTCACAGTTCCCAGAAAACCCCTTCCACCTGCCTGTCCCACCCAATGCTGTAGGGCAGAGGCTACCAGCGGTGGCCACAGTTTGCCCCCATGCTTCCATGGCAGCGCAAACCTTGTCCAGTCACATGGCTGTCCAGCTAAGGACTACTCATCTCAGTTTCTCTCGCAGCAGCTGTGGCCCTGTGACAAGGCTCCTGAGAGGTACCAGGCTCCATCTTCCTACCACTATTGTGATGCTTCCTGGACTGGGAGTACCATGAAGAGGGCCCTGCTTCTGTGTGTGTGGAACATCTAGGTGACTCTGTATCAATGGGTGCTCCCATTATTAGAAAGGCCTTGTTAGAAAGGGGGAACCCCTGGGGCTCACTAGTAGGTGTCAGTTGTCTCTTCCTCTGAGCTAACCCAGACTTGCTGAGCCAACGTTCTGCTCATCTACTGAAAAGGGCCCTCTTTTCAAGATGAGCTTCCAGGGGCATTCCCTTTCAGCTGAATTACCTAAGGTTTCGTATTATTCATTCTGGCGTAGATACAACTATGTCAGAAGATGGTCGTGAAGGACGGCAGCAGGTCATATGCGACCGACCCACATGAGCATGCTTCTCATGACTCCCCGGAGCGCTCTGTAGAAACCAAGACTTGGACGTTGCAGCACAGATGTTTCATAGCAAGAGACATGAAGAAGCTTCTTGCGGTAGAATAATGGCGTGCCGGTTGGAAGCAGGATGAATCTATGACTGAGATCCTGGGGAAATGTCATTAGAAAAATGGCATGGCGAAGAGACCTTTCATAAACCCTCAGATCCTACCAATTCATCCCAAGGCAGGAAAGTCCCTTGTATGAAGTCTTCACTAAACTAATGGTCACTGCTTTGGTCCAGGCCTTGTCTCTTGATGGGTCCCTGCAATGGTGGCTCTTCCCCACAATTGGTTTTTCTTTCTTCTGCCTCTGCCCTGCCCCCACCTATTGTCTGCTCCACTGAATTTTCTCTCTGAAAGCAAAGCTGATCATGTTACTCCTCTACCTAAAAGGCTTTATTACTTCCTGCCTATAGGATAATACAGGACAAGGCCCAGCTACCTCTGCTTTGCCCTCTGCCTGGAATGTCTTTCTTTTACCTGCTTGGGTAATTTCTGTCTATTCTCCAAAATCCAGTTTATGTCACATCCTCTGTGCTGTTCTCTCTGATTCCACCAGATAGTGTCTGTCATTGTTCCCTCTTTTTACTTCCATTTTGCCCATCACACCACACAATTTCAGATCAGTTATTTACAGAAACTATCTTTTTCCTTCAGGGCAAGGATCATGTCTTTTTTGGTCTTGGTGGACTCAGCCCCTAGCACAATGTTGGAATGCAGGAGAAGCTCAGTAAGAGTTTTGTCAAACTAAGCACAGTATTTTAAGAGTTAGTAATATTCATTTTCAAACACAAATGAATAAACTAATAAAACTCTGCTTTCTGTCTTTAGGCAACCTGGTGTACTGGGAATGACATGCCACAGACCAGCTATGTGATTTCTGATGTGCTATGGTCTCTCGTCCTTGCAGGCAGGGAGGAGGGATCTCTATTTGTGTTATGGATTGAATTATGTTCCTCCCAAAATTCATACGTTGAAGTCCTCAGAACGTGACCTTATTTGGAAGCAGGGTGTTTAAAGAGGTAATCAAGTTAAAATGACGTCAGCAGGGTGGTGCTATGAGCTGTACTGTATCCCTCCCAAATTTGTATGTTGAAGCCCTAACCCTTAGTACCTCAGAATGTGAAGATAGGATCTTAAAATATGTGATTAAGTTAAAATGAAGCCATTAGAGTAGGTCCTAATTCAATCTTACCAGTGTCCCTATAAGAAGAGGAAATCTGGACACACAAGGAGGCACCAGGATGCATATGCACAGAGGACAGACCATGTAGAGACACAGCAAGAAGGCAGCCTTCTGCAAGCCAAGGAGAGAAGCCTCAGGGGAAAAAAACAAAAAACAAAAAACAAAAAACCAATCATCCCTGCCAACACTTAATCTTGGACTTCCAGCCTCCAGAATTGTGAGAAAATAAATTTCTGTTATTCAAGCATCTAGTCTGCCATACTCTATTATGGCTGCCCTAGTTAGAGGGGGGCCCTAATCCAATATGTCCATGTTCTTATAAGAAGGGGGAATTTGAACAGAGATATGCTTCAAGGGAAGACAGTGTGAAGACACAGAATAAGACAGCCACCTGCCAGCCCCAGAGAGGGGCCTCCACAGACCCCTCCCTCACAGCCTCAGAAGGAACCGGCCCTGCCAACAGCTTGATTTTGGACTTCTGGCCTCCAGACTGTGAGACCATAAGTTTTGGGTGTTTCAGCCTCCCCATTTATGATGCTTTGTCCCAGCAGCCCCAGCAGGCTAATACTCATTGTAACCTTTGGTTAGCACTTCTTATAAATGTAGTGCAAACTGAATCATAGAATATGGACTCTGGACAGAACTTCCCTAGGTCACCCTCTTCATTTTACAGACGACGGAACAGGGGCCCAAGACAGTGAAAAGGCTGCCTCATGTTAGGTGCTTTCTCCTAACGACTGACAGGAGATCCTGATGGGGTTTATCACGGCACCATGTTTCTACTCTTCATGTTCCTTCATGCCTCGTAGGAGCCTGCTCCTCAGTCAATAAATCTGGTCATGCTGTGTGTACTTGGTCCTTCACGTAGCCTCGGTAAGTAAGAGCATCTCCACATTTCTTTAGACAGTCCTGAGCCAAGTGCCCCTGGTGAAGCTTCATGACCTATCAAGACTTTGGAGTGCACTAATTAAATTCTTCTTAAACCACCCTGAGAAGCATGAAGAGAGTTCTTTTTTTTTTAGATAGGCCAGGGTAAAACACTGGATGACCTTTCTTTGCTCTAAGAATGTTGCTATAATCACAGAAGACTGTGCCCCCAAGAAAAAACCCTATGATTTTTGTGCATTATCTCTTTCACTAGCTCCTGTGAGGATTCCAGGGCCAGACAGCTCAGCTCTGTTACCTGCTCTATGTGTGCCTTTTTGATATCTTTCTCTCCTCAGCTATAAAGTGGGAATACTCATACTATTTGGTTGCTGTGAGGATTAAATGAGATGCTACCTATGTGGCACTTAGTAAACCATTAAGATCTGTCAGTTGTTACTATTTTAGATGAAGAATCTAAGTCTTAGGTTAAGTGACCTTATCCTTGTAAGTAAACAGAGCAGCATTGCGTCAGGGTTCCTGGAGGCCACCTTCTAAAACTCTACAAAGCCTCCTCCATGGACACCAGGTTTACACTGGGCTGAAGTCTCCTTGGAAGGATTCCTGTTCCCCGTAGTCGCTGCAGGAAGGAGAATGTCAGGACATAAGTAATGCTTTGAAGCCTAGAACCCAGGTCCTTCTGTCCCTGAACCCAGCTGAGGAATGGACACAGGATCTGTTATTGAAAAGAGTCAGTGGTCTGTCTATCCTGCTCCCAACCTCAGATGGTTACTTAATCAGCCTTCTGCTCCTTCTGATAGCAGAATAATGATACTCTTCCCAGAGAATGAGCAGTCAGAAGGTCTACGTTCAGGTGCTGATTCTACTGTTTATAATTTGAAGAAACTTGAGCAGGTACTTAAATGCTACGAACTTCAAGTTCCTCATCTGTACAGTGAAGATGATGATAACACGTATATGGTATGGCTATTGTGAGGATCAAAAGAGATCATAGCATAGAGAGTGCTCGGCCAATAACAGAGTGCTATATGATTTGTTATTATCCCCAAACTTCACAGTCCAGGTCTCAGTCCAAGAGCTGACTCCCCTGGCCTTCTGACTTGCTATGAGAGTCACAGTCCATTCCATAAAATGTGGCCCTTCATTATATCCTGCTTTTCATTATTGAGCAAATGTTTCAAGTTTTATCTTTAGAACGTGTTGCTTTAGAACGGAGTGCAGAGATCATGTATCACATCCCTGCCCCATTTCTGTGCATGGGTGGTCAACAGTACTTATTGACGTTGCAGACCTGTCCCACCGCTAGTGGAGTATGGACAGGGGAGTCAGGACCTGCCACCTACACTCTCTCACCCAGCTATCCTTGGGGCTTGGAGTCAAGACAGGAGCAGAGAGGAAGAATCACAACTGGGAGGTCTGCACTCTGGGTCTGGCTCCATCATTTCTTATCGTTGTCCTCAAGTGTGAACCAAGCATAATGCCAGCCTGGTTATGAGCAGAGGACATTCACTGAATGCACATGAGGAGGCTTTTATCAACTATAGAGAAAACGGAAAGTGTTTTACCGAGGTGGAGGCCATGGGTATGGGAGCAGATCATTTAGTCCAGGTGAGGACCGAGCCCATATCCTCAATGTGCCACGCCCACCCCCACCAGGGCACTCACCTAAAGATTCTGACCAGCACTGGGACTTCGGGGTGAAGGTCTGTGAGCGGCTGCTGATGGGGTTGCTCACAGTGCAGACGTAGACGGTGTTGACATTCTGAGGGCCAAGGTTGAGATGCAGGAGGTGAGTACTGTTGTTGGCTGGGGTCAGTGGGTCAGTAGCCACTTCCTCACTCCAGTTGTAAACCACATAGTCCCCCTTCTCCACGTCGCAGGCCAGTATCAAGCTGCAGTTCCCATCCCCCTGGGTCAAGTTCAACACCTTAATTTCCGGAGTGGAGACCTGCTCTGTCAAGAGGGGGAGGAAGGAAGCCGTCACCAAAGTGAACCCCCTGGGATTCTAACTCTACCTTCTTGTTAGAAGAAAATACAGCCTAATGCTATTTTTCCCTCCCTGTGGGTGTGCAGTGCGATTTATTTGCTGAGGCGATCTGCTGGTTCCCCCAAATCCCTCTCTCTCTTCTATACTCTCCCAGTATGACCTCAAGACAAAATAGGGAAAAATCATTTATCTTTTAGTTCCCTCCCACCACTATTGTTAAGGAATCCACTTGTTCTTGGTGATGCTCCCAATCTTCTGTTTTTTACCTGTGGCATTTTCTGCAAACTAATCCGCATGGTTTAATTGTCATTGACTAAAGTATTACCTCTAGACCTGAAAGAATGACATAGTGGTGGGGTTTTACCTGGAGTGTGTGGGTAGGTGGGTATGTATCTGAGTGTGTGTCTATGTGTCCGTGTGTGTGTAGGTGTGTATGTGTGTCTGTGTGTGTCTGTGTGGGTATGCGGAGGGGACTAGGGGAGATCTCACTCTAATCTATGAAATAGCCAAGGCAAGTAAGCAAGTTGTACTTATTTAACAAGTACTGTACGATAGGCATGAATCTGGAATTTTACATTTATCATAGTCTTTAATCTTCTAACAACTTTCTCAACAATTATAACCTTAGTTATAAGTACTCCCATTTTACAGGTGAGGAAACGGAGTCCCAGAGAAGTGGAGTGTGTCATATAATATCACTTAAACTGAGATCAGAACCTAAGGATGTCTGGCTCTCTTCTTTCTTGGACTTGAGAAGAATGTCATGGTTGCAGAGACTGTATCTTCCAAGGTAAGAGTTTATGTGACAAGATGTGACAAAAGCAGTGAACTGTTCTAGAAACTGCATGATGTGTCAACCCTAGGGCCACTATTGGAGTAGTCAGAGATCTCTGTACCTGGCAGAGGGCTGAGGGGAGTCTGCATAAACTATGTGGAGGAAGGGGGATGCTGGGACTAGGGGAAGAGTGAGGGGGGTATTGCCATCTTTCCTGTAGGCACCTGAGTATTTCAAAGAAATGCTGGGTGGGTGGGGGCTCTCTGTCCCAGCTCAAAGATAAGGAAGTCTCTCTGTGAGAAAGCAGGACAACCCACATGGGCTGCTGTCAGGATTCCTGGAAATTCAAAGAGTCTCTGGGTCTAAGAGATACAAAATCTGGGTGCATTCCAGAAGGGCTGGCAGCTAAAGAGGCTCAAAAAAGCACTGGCCTTGGGTTCAAATGGACCTAGATTCTGGTTTAAGCTCTGCAGCTAAGCGACCTTATAACCAGAACCTCTGTTTCAATGAGAAAAAGGTGCTTTTTCACCAGGTAGATGCGGCCACATGGGGTGTGCGGGCAGTGCATGCGCTGATTCAGCTCTCCTCTTCCTGGGCCCCCATGCGGGGAACCACCCACGAGGACTCGTGAAAACACAAGCCAACCACTTCTCCCTGGATTTCAGTGTCCTTATCAACAGAAAAGAGATTGGGTTCGATCTGTGGTATTCAAACATTTTAAAAATCGGGGGGAAAAAACCTTTTTTTTAAACCAAGTCTTATTTGCAAATTGAGACTCTTGGGGCCAACGGGCCCTGTAGTCCATAGGCAGCTGGGTTCCTTGTCTTTGGGAAATGGGGTAGGGCTAACTAGTGCTAATCAACTACCATCAGTGAGCGATTTGGAGGAAAAAGACTTGTGAATTTCTGAAACCTCTTCCTAAAGCACAGTTTAAAAACCCTGGACTAGGTGATCTTTCAAGTTGTGCCCAACCTTGGATACCCTTGCTTCTGAGAGACGCCCAAATCTTAGGTAAGGAATGATCTCGGGTGCCCCCCTCCCCGTGCAGACTGCGGAAGCCCCAATATTACCATAGAGCTTCAGCTGCAGACAAAAGTGTCGAACTGAAAAGTTCTCCTCCAGGGTCATGAAGTACCAGCCCTCATTTTCCTTCCTGCTTTCCAGGATCCCCAGACTCAGGTTTTCCAGATGAAAGGTATAGCCATTTTCCAGATAGCGTGGAGACCCCCCTTCGGGCAGATCCAGGGAAGCTATTTTCTTCTTGACACTGTTTCCTGGTGATTCTGCTCTGGTGACAAGGACATGGACGCTTTTGTTCATGCTCTTACTTATGCCTCCGGATGCCAAGGACAGCAGCACACTGCTTCCCAACTGCCCAGGCATCTCTGGGCAGTTCAGCAAGCTCTCACCTGTGAGAGGAAGAAGAAGAAAGTCTGTGATTGCAGAACTCTTTGAGAATCTCATCCTCTCTGTGCATCAGGAATGACAGATTGAAGGTGCTCGCTCTTCCTCTCAGGCTCTCCCTGGAGTTGCCAGGTCCCTTGTAGTCTATAGGAATGGTCATAACAATCCTACTATATTCTTAATGTTTGAAAAATCCCCATGGAAATCTTAAAATTGCTTACAAAGGAGATGTACAGACTAACTAGGACACTGGGGTTCTCTGATCTGGGAGAGAATTCTATCAACTCAGATTTATAGTGAAGGCATGGAGAAGTTAAGACGTAGAGAAGTTAAATGACATCTCTGAAATCACATAACCAGTAACTGGACTAGAAGCCAGGTCTGCTCATTCCTTGACCAGACTTCTTACCACCACTGGGTACCTAGTATGAAGGGCAGAGAGCAACTGGAACAGATTCTGAGCTTGCGAGCCTAGGAGACCAAGGCTACAGAGAGCATAATTCCAGAAAAAGAAGACAAAGTCTGAGGGATGTGGAGCTAGGAGTGTGGTGAGCCCAGTGTTCAAACTGTGGAACTCTTGCTCTCAAAAAGACCATAAGATAGTTCCTAATATCAAGGATGAGAAATTATTTTATTTCTCTTTTTCAAAAGAACTGAGCCAACAACAACAACCACAACCACCACAACAACAACAACACAAAACCACACACACACACAAAACCCCACCCTTTCAGATCACTGTAAGGGATCCTACTGCTGACTATTTAACACCTCCTCTCTCTTCAAACCCATGGCCTCCGCTGATGACTCTGCTTCTCACTGAACTGAAAATGCAGAAAAAATGAGAATAGAACTTCCTACCGACCCAGCTGGATGGTCTATGCCCCCATTAAGGTTAGCCTCTTTCGTCATGGAACACTCACCCACCTCAGGCCTTTGCTCTTGCAATAGCCCCCACCCTTTGCACCATCAGCTTTATTACTGGTGTAGAATGTTGTGGGTTATTTCCATCAACACACAACATACCAACCTGTAACTTCCCTCCTCTTACAAACCCCTCCCCTAACCCCAGGTTCATCCCTAGAGGCTGCCTCATTTCTCTCTTTTCCCTTATTGCAAAGTCCTTTAATGTGTGTTTATATTTTCTGTTTCTGTTTCCTGACTCATTTTTCCTGTACCCACTTTAGCAGGTGCTCTTCCCTACTACTCACTGGAACCACCCTCATCAAGGTCACTGTGTGCGCCGTAGTGCCGAGTCTATTCTCCATCCTCATCTTGCTTTCTCAGGAGCACCTGACATGGTTCGTCACTCCCTCTTTGGAGCACTGCCTTCACTCAACCCCTGGAATACCACTCTCTTGGTTTCCTTCCTATTTCATTGGCTACTCCTTCTCAGTCTCCCTGACTGGAACCTGCTGCTCTTAAAGATCTCTAAATACTGGTGCATCCTGGGACTCAGTACTCAGAGCCCCTCTCTCCTAGCCGTGCTCATCCAGTTGCGTGGGTTAACATACTTCTGGAATGCCTGCAGAGATGGATCTCGCACCCAAACTGCCCACATGGATCCATATTTGGAGGTCAAAAGGGCATTGCAAACTTAGCAAAGAAACTCTTGGCTCCATAGCCCCTCCCACCAACAATACAACTCCCCCAAATTCTGAGACCAAAACGTTTGGAATCATCCTTATCTCCTTTCCTTCTCTCATACGCCATATCAAGTCTATCAACAACTCCTGTTGACTCTACCTTCAGGATATGTCTGCAATCCTAACACCTCCAACCTCCTTCATTTCTGCCACTGTCGTCACAGCCTGGCACAGCCATTGGCTTCCAACTAATCTTCTGGCATTTGTACAGTAGGCCGACTCATCTTTCAAACCTATGCCAGATTTTGTCTCTCTCCTGCTTTGAAACTTCCAGGGATTTCTAGCAACCATAGAAGAAATAGCCACAGGCCTTGTTATGGCTTCAAAGACTCTGAGTAACCCCGTCCCTGACCCTTCTACTGCCCTCTCTCTCCACTCACTGCGCTATGGTCATACTGGCTCAGACACCTCATCAAGAACATTCCCCCATCAGAGCTTCTGCTTCTGCTGTTCTCTGGATATCTTTTTCTTTATATATCTGGGTAGCTCACTCCCTCACTTTATTTTGGATTTCTGCTCAAGAAGTTATCGCCTCTGAGAAACTTGTTCTCACCATCCTATACAAAATAAGCACCCTTCTGATTGCACACTTATCCCTGTCTGAAGATACATCGTGTATTATTCTATTTTATTTTTGTGTCCCTGGCTAGGATGCAAACTCTTCAAAAGGAAGAATTTCATTCTGTTCGTAGTTTTGTGTCTAGGACCTACAACAATAGTTGGTGTATGGTAGGCTTTTAATAAATATCTGTTCAAAATATGAGTGCAGAAAGCTACATTATTACCTGACTCAAATCTCTCTTATTTAGCTTTGCCCGATATGTAACTGAACTTACCCATAAGCTAAATCTCAAAAATGGAGCCCATGACTCAGAGAACATAGATTGCTTTAGTTGATAAGGAAGCCAGAGAAGTAAAACAAAATTGTCTGCTTGAGTAGTGCAACTGCCTAGAAAGGACACCATTGACTTGTGGCTCACGTGGGTTGTTGGAAAACTGGACAAACTGGTCCAGATGTTCTTGATACCAAAATGCTCTGAAATCCCAACACAGGCCCATAAAGGGATCCAGAAATTGGGAGAAAACAATAGGCAGTCCACTTGGGCTAAATTAGGGTGGGATTGGTGGAGACTCGTAACGATGAAGGGAAGTGAGGGGAAGGGAGGATATAAGATGGCATCGGGAGGGGCCCCCATACCACCACCACCAGCAGCAGCACCAAAGAAACCAATGAAATAAAACAGGAAGGGAAAGAGAAAAAAGAAAAGAAGGAGCAGATGAGAGGGCAGGCTGAGTGGTATCTGCACATTCACACACGGGGAGTGGGATCGAAACTCGGTCAGCAAGAAACCCTCACACCCTGCAACCCACATGAAGAATGGTGATCTCACAACTGAGTGCATGTGAGTGGCTGGGTCTGGAAGGGGTACTAGAAACCAGTACCAGCTAAGCACAAGTGGAAAACAAGTGGGGACTTTAAAGTGGTTCAGAGAACCCTTCAAGTGGAGTCCCCACTCCTGAAACATCCTACGGCCTGATGCGACTTTTCCAGCGGGGCCATGATTCAGTCAACCCTGTTTGCTCAAGAGTCTGGAGAAAACATTCGTAGCCATTAACACCAACTCGTTTTCTTCAAGGGTAATTCTACTTAGAAAGTAGAGTGATTCACATGGGCCCATGGATATTTTCCTGAAATGAGCCCCATGTAGCCAACCCTTCTCAAGATGGGATTCTACCTAATGATAACCACCCACTTAGTTTTGCCAGGTCATGACACGCTCACATGGGCTCACGCCATGTTGCCATAGCTTTCAGGGAGAGGACGCGGGCAGGTCTTTTTTTTTTTTTTTAATTTTTATTTATTTATTTGACAGACAGAGATCACAAGTAGGCAGAGAGGCAGGCAGAGAGAGGGGGGAAGCAGGCTCCCCGCTGAGCAGAGAGCTCAATGTGGGGCTCGATCCCAGGACCCTGAGATCATGACCTGGGCAGAAGGCAGAGGCTTAATCCACTGAGCCACCCAGGCATCCTGACTCGGGCAGGTCTTACCAGGCCTCACACTTCTTACAGCAGAGCGAGGCCCCAGAAGAGATGTTTGTTCTTTTACCTGCCCTCCCAAGAGCCATTCTCTCCCCCTCCCCCCCCTTCCTTGATGCTACTGAGTCTTTCTGAGTCAGAGGACTTACATCTGCATGCCCCAGGCTGACTACCGGTTACTGCCCTCTATTTCCCTGACTAACTCCTTCCGTCCTGTCTCTGCCTCTGAACCCTAGCCTCCTCTAGGCCTCCCTGCTTTATGCCTCCAGTGCCTTATTATGTCCCCTTCATATCACTCCTTGCACTTTTAACTCTGATTCTTTGCCTGTTACCCTTACTCAAGAATAAGCTTCTGTGAGTAGTGACTATGTCTGCTTGTCCACTTAGAGTCCTTACACCCACCTGGGACACAGTAGAAACTCAGTAAAACCATGCTGCTCAAGAGAATGAAAAACTGAATGAGTGAGCAAATGGCAACACAGAATCTCAGAACCCTTCTCTCCAAAATCAGAATGTACTCTGTTTCGTCGTTCTAACGTCCCTAAGAAGTACAGTGTGGCTGGGAAATGATGGGGACCCTTCTCCCCGCTTGCCAGGGGAGCAGATGGAAAACGCTTGGCTATGGAGCCCAGGCTTCAAGCTCAGCAGACCATTTGCCATCCCCCTGAACCCTCACAACACCTCACCTCTACATTGATATCTTCATCAGGAATACTCTCATCAAGTCTTATAAAAAATCCAGTGTATGTATTTGGGAAGACACACAAGGAACTGGTGATAGCTGCTGTCCTGTCTCCATTGTATACCCTTCTGTACTGCTGAAGTTTTAAGTAGATGTATGTGTGATACTCTTGCAATAAACAAACTGGTTAACAAAAAAAAAAAAAAAAAAAAAAAAAAAAAAAACTAAATGAAAACTTAGGTGCTGAAAGAAGTTCCTATCCAGATCAAATACTTCCATGTGCCCTCTGCTTCCTTCTATAGTTTTATCATCTTCTCTCACCTTTTGAATATTCCTACACTTCAATTCAATTAAAATCAACTTACATGCTCCAATTACAGATAGCATATTCTAATTTTTACCATGGGACCTGGAGACAAATTTTAACATCCCTCCCACCTCCAGCAAACACAAGTTTATCCAGGCTCATTAATGAGGTCTCTGAAGTCAGGCTGTGTAACTACAGAGAAACTGCTGAACTTCTCTGTGGCTCTCATTCCTTCTTCTATAAAATTGTAATGGTAACAATAATAACATATCCCCTAGGGTTGGTGTGAGAATTAAGTGAATAATACACCTAGCACTTAGAACAGTGCCTGGTATACAGCAAATAGGCTTTACATACTATTATTATTCATTCAACAATCATTTGTGGAAGGGCTCTGATATACCAGATACTGGGTCAGGTCCCGGGCAGAGTCTGTGTATGCTCATTGTGCTTCCCCAACCCCTCGCACAATGCCTGCCACATCGGGGTCCTTAATAGATAGCTACTCAATGGGATTGTCTAAAGTCAATCCATGGATAAAACTAATCAGCCCCGACGTTATGGTTTCCAGTCTGGTGCTGGAGATGTGAAGGTGATGGCTTTATAGCCCAGTATTAAATCTTTCGAGAAAAAAGTATCCCAGTATTAAATCTTTTGAGAAGCTTCGACTGACACCTTGGGTAGAATGGCCCAGTGAACAAAGATGGGCCAAGTCTGCAGCCCACACTCTTACCCTTCATGTGTGTGAATGAGGTGGACCCACCTGGAGGAATACAACGTCCCCTTGGGGAATTCATCAGTTGTAAGAGATGCATCGCTCTGGTGGGGGATGCTCATAATAGGGAAGCTATGCATGTGGGGGAGTGGGGGAAGTCTTGGTACCTTCTGCTCATTTTTGCTGTGAACCCAAAATTTCTCCAAAAATAGTCTATTTTTTTTAAAATCCATTGAGGGAATGGAAAATTTGCTTTATTGGGGGAAGGGACATGTGGACTTTTGATTCTACAATTCTGACAGGGAATTGGGAGGCAAGCTGGGTAGAGATGGGAAGGAGAGTGGCTCCTGATTTTACAAGAATTGCACTTCTTGGTTGAGTAACTGAACTGACATGGTTGACCTGTCCCACTTGCAAAGCATTTCCATCTGTGTTTAATTGGGGTTTCACAAAAGGGTGTGTATTTAAAAATAAAAACACTAAAAATTTTGGGCGTGTTTCAGAGAAAACGGAATGCAAGGAAGACAGACACTGCAGGTTGGGTAGACACACCCCACGGAGCTGGGCTGCTTCTTGCTGACCAGGGAATGTCAAGCCTCCAGTGGAGCAGCTGCCAGCACCTGGTGCCATGGGAACACTGTGGGCCAGGCTGGCTAGCCGGCAAGTAAACACAGAGATTTAAAAAGTCCAACCCACTGTTCAACCCCATCGCTCCTGATAGTCACTAAGAAATATCCCCAAGTGGTAGCCACAAACGAAGTGCATCTGAGAAGGTTTGGCTTTCTCTGTGGTGGCTTAAAGTGGTTCAGTCTGGCTTTCTGAACCCCGAGCTCAATCACCCCTTCCCTAGACCTCAGAAAGCAAGAACTCTAGGTCTGCCTGATTCGGAGGGAAATGGGGGTCGAGAAAGGTCCTCTTTATCTAGGAGTCTAGCAAAAGATAGATCCCATGCACAGCCTCTCCGACATCCATAGAGTATCTCTGGACTTTTCCTGTAAAAGTCCTTAATGGATTTGCGGTCTTGAAAACCCCAAGTACAAAACACCCAGAGCCTCAGGATTTCCCCCCTTCCCTAATACTGCTTCCACTCCGGGCTGTCTCCGCTAGTCTAACCAGACTCCAGGCTCTGAAACATTCCCAGTGAGCCCAAAGTCCACTTCTTGTATGGCTTTTCTTTCTCAAATACCTTTTCTCATAGCCCTGATACTACTACAGAGCACCCCAGCTCACCTCCAGGAGGGACACATACCAGAAAGACAAGAGCAGAGCTCAGCCCCAAACCCTGTGTTGTGTGTCTGGCCCTACTGCCAGAGCTCCCCAGACCTTTGAGAGTTCCCAATTTGCATTTCCAGAAATCCTGGCCTCTCCCCCATCTCACTGCCTTGGGAGGTTCTCTTCCAGGAAAGTCGCCACCAGCATGACCACACTGGAGCCACTCTCTGACCTCAACTGATGCCTGAGGTTTTCACTTCACTTCTACACTACAGCCCTTCCCTGTTGTTGGACCGTGGTTCTGGCTGGGCTGCTCGCATGTGTGAGGATCCCCTTCAAGGGCAGGGAAGTAGGAGTCATCGTCTCCCAAGCTCCATCGGTCCATCTCAGCCCCTTAGCCTGGGTATTTGCTGGATGCAAAAACAACCACTCAACCAGAACCTTGGCCAGAACGTCCCACCCTGAGAGCCTGGTCTGCAATGTTACCTGTGCCTTTGGCTAAGGGCTCCTGGTTTCCTTGGAAACTAGGATTGGTGGGGCTGAGCCTTGGCATCCAGGAACCCACAATATTCCTTCCTCTTTGGAAGAGTCAGAAGGAACTCAGAGCCAGTCCCTGAGAGAGAGAGGCAGCCAAACCACAGCCCCCAGCCCCTGCGACTTCTCTCCAACCATGGTCTGGCTGACTCCTGGCAGGTAATGGTGGGACTCACGTCCTCAAACAGATGAACACTCACCTGTTCCACAGCTCAGCTCAAAAGCCAGGGAGAGAAACAGCAGGAAGTTTAAGCAGAGAAGCCTCTTGGGATCCATCAGCTGGCGAAGAGAGGGAAGAGAGCCCCTTGAGGAGCCCAACAGCTGCTTGCAGACGCCACAACGGAGTGAGGTCCGTGTCAGGCAGAGGTGCCTCTGCCGCCTAGTTATGCATCAGGAACCAGATGGCTTCCTGTATCACTGGGACTTTTTCTGCCTGAGTCTCGGGGATTGCTCATCTCCTTTTAGGCTTCAAATCACTTTGCTGTTCCCAAGAAGTCCGTGTCAAATGCTCAGACTGCCTAAGACGGGAAAGTAGTTCAGCAAACCCAGCCCTGAGCAGAAATTGACCCCCCTCCTCCCAGCCCCAGCCTTCCCTGGCAGTTCTGTCTGGTAACCCTTCTTAGAGTGGAAAGAAGAAATGGAGGCTTGTCAGATCTGGGTCAGTTAGTTCAAGACTGAACTTGGATGACTAAACTTTGAAGAGTTCTTATGTCTCATGTCTGATTTGCTCCATAACTTCAGAGAACCCCTCCACACGCAGTCGGGTCCTGATGTCAAAGCCCCAGAGACATGGGGAGGGCAAGCGTGGATCAGCTGGCAGAAATCCAACTTCCCAGATGGTGCAGTGTGGTTGGATTTAGTGAGCTCTGGGTTGTGTTTGAGGGGGTACCTTTATTTCAGAGCTTGTGTCTAACTTTTTGTAGAGAGGAAGGGACTAAAACAGGCAGAAGAAAGACACATTTTTCCACGAGTTAAGCTGTAAAAATGAAAATACTGGAAAGATACTTTTACCAGTGTTCAGGAAGAGATTTTGAGAGGTCAGCTTCTTGTTTTTAAAGTCCATTTTAGGGATGCCTGGTTGGCTCAGATGGTTGAGCATCTGTCTTTGGCTCAGGTCATGATCTCCACACCTAGAATTGAGCCCCACATCTGGCTCCTGGCTCAACAGGGAGTCTGCTTCCCCCTCTGCTGCTCCCCCTGCTTGTGCTCTCTCTGTCTCTCCCTCTCTCAAATGAATAAATGAAAAAAAAAAAACTTAAAAAAAACACAATTTTTTAACAGATTAGAGGCACTCTCCAATGGGCCTTCCTGAGGAAATTAAGGTTACAAGACCTGGCAATATATGGGAACTTACCCTTTATCTTCACTGCTTTTCTCCCTCCCTCATCTGACACCCAAGCATCCTCCCCAAATACTACCTAGTGGGTGTGGGAGCCAGCATGTACCAACTACTGAGAGCTGATTGTTAAATTTTCAGGAATCTTACAAGGTGGGTGATTGATAAATATTACCATTATTAAGAATTCGATTGATATGAATTTACTATATTTATTTAATTGTAAATGAAGGAATAATAACTAAGGGGAAAACTCAAAACGAATTACTTCCTAATTAGTTCACAACATATTATTATTATCTATGGTCTTGAGGACATTTACATCTATTGTATCTCTATGGTGGAAATAAAATACCAGGTATCATATGGGCTCTGTATTACTTTCAACGACAGCATGTTCATAGCTTGAAATCAGTCAGGGTGGGAGCCTATTGGCAAATGGTAGAATCAGAGCTCTGGTTTAATGTTTTGTTGGTTTTCTGGATGTAAGAAAGTGATAAAGAAAAGGTGATGATTCAGATTAAACTTAAAAATATATCATGACTGTAGCCTCGATGTTGTGAATAGCACACAGAATTTGAGGAAGTAGTATTCCAGGATTTAACAACTACCATCTTATTCAGCAAAAAGTCACTAATGTCACTGACCAGTAAATGAGGTTGCAATATATGTCTTTGATGTTGCATATTTCTTTAACCTAAAAAAAAAAAAAAAGTGACTGGAAGCAAGAAGAGAATAGAGTGAGATATTTGAAGAGATGAGAGAAAGAAAAAAACCCACCAACCTAGAATTCCGAATCCTGAGAAATTATCCTTCAAAAGTGAAGGAGAAACAAAGACTTTCTTGGACAAACAGAAGTTGGGGGAATGTTTTGCCGTAGCTCTGCCTTGTTAGAGATAGTCAAAGAAGTTCTTTAGGGAGAAAGAAAATTATATATGTCAGAAACTCAGATCTACATAAGGAAAGAAAGAACATCAGACAAGGAATAAGTGAAGATAAAATAAAAGCTTATTTTTATTACTCTTAATCGATCTAAGGGATAACACATTGTTCAAAATAATAATAACAATAACAATGTATTCAATTATGTGTGCTTATGTATATTTCTTATGTATATATGTGCTTCTCAATGCTTATATATAAGTGAAATGAATGACAATGATATAAGGGATAGGAAAGAAGAATTAAGATTATTTTCTTATATAAGGTACTCACACTACCCATGAAGCAGGATAGTGTTATTTGAAAATGTGCTTGGATTGGTTGTAAATGTATATTGCAAAATCTAGAGCAACCACTAAAAAAAAGTGAAAAAAAAAAGTATGATTATGTACTAAGGAGAGAAAATGAAATCCTCAATTAAACCACAAAGGGCAGAAAAAGAGTGGAAGGCAATAACAGAAACAAAGAACAAGGGCAACAAATAGAAAAGAGTAACAGATATGGTAAATATTATTCTAACAATATCAAGAAACATTTTGAATGTCAATGGTCTAAATGAACCAATTAAAACACAGAGATTGTCAGAATGGATCAAAAAACAAGATCCTATTGGCTCTTGGTGGACAGCAGGGGCCATTGGAAAGGTAGATCAGGGCAAGAAGTGGCAGGATTGGCAGGTCCAGAGCCTCGTCCCTTCTGCTGCTCAGGCCTGATCTTCCTGTAGCTGGGCTGCCCACAATGCTCCCCATAGATAGGTCCTTACAAGTTGGCCAGAGGCACTCACTCTTGAGACATCATGGTGGTGTACTGCTAACAGACTGGACTCAGCTACATTTGAAACTCCCAGATCTGTGCAAAAGCAGTGAGAGATGCACTGACTACAGAATTCGAAACAAATGACAAGAAGACTTCCGGCAGTGGCAAAAAAAAGTTGTGAAAGTGAAAAAGGAATAATCTACTCTGACTGAAGCTTGAAATGCTTCATTTTCCAGGTGAAGATATGTGGGCACATGTTAGGGCAGATTGAAAACTATCTGCCCTAAATACATGTCTTATTCACAGACTAACCATGACAATAAATTGAAATATTATTCAAAAAAACAAAGCAAAACAAAAATAAAACCCAACTATATCATCTATAAAAAACCTACTTTAAGTATAAAGACACATAAAGATTAAAAGTAAATGGATAAAGAGAAAACATGCTAACATTAATTAAAAGAAAGCAGAAGTTGCAATATTAATTTTAGACAGAGAAAACCCCAAAGAAAGGAATGTAGTTATCAGAAATAGAAGGGTATTATATAATGACAAAGGGGTCAATTCTCCAAGAAGACATAACAATCTTTAACATATATGTGCCTAACAACAGATCTTCAGATACATAAGGCAAAGACTGATAGAACTATGATGAGAAATAGATAAATCTGCTATCATCATTGGAGACTTCAACATCCCCTTATCAGAAATGGACAGATCCAACAGGCAGAAAATCAGGACACCACTATATTCACACCACCATGAATCAGCTGACACCTATAGACTACTTCACCCAGTAACAGCAGAATATACATTCTTCTCAAACTCATATGGAACATTCACCAAGATAATCCACCTTCTGGGCCATAAGACATATCTTAATAAATTTGGAAAAATAGAAATCATACATTGTCTGCTCTCAGACCACAGAGAGATTAAACTAGAAGTCCATAACAACAACGAAAACAACAACAACTGGAAAATCCCAAAACATGTGGATATTAAACAATTCACTTCCAAATAACACATGGGCCAAAGAAGAAATCTCAAGAGAAATTTTTAAATATTTTGAACAAAATGAAAATGAAAACACAACTTATGAAAATTTGTAGGATTCAGAAAAAAAAAAGTGGTGCCTAGAGGAAAATTGATAGCATTGAATGCATATAATAGAAAAGAAAAAAGACCTAAAATCAATATAAGCCTTCACTTTAGGAAACTAGAAAAAGAACAGCAAGTTAGGGGCACCTGGGTGGCTCAGTGTGTTAAAACCTCTGCCTTTGGCTCAGGTCATGATCCCAGGGTCTTGGGATTGAGCCTTGCATCGGGCTCTCTGCTTGGCAGGAAGCCTGCTTCCTCCTCTCTCTCTGCCTGCCTCTATGCGTAGTTGTGAGTTCTGTCTGCCAAATAAATAAATAGAATCTTAAAAAAAAAAAAAAAGAAGAAGAGCAAATTAAGTCCAGAGTAAGCAGAAAAAAAGAAATAAAAAAAACTAGAGTAGGAAGCAATGAAATTGAAAACAAGATATTAATAGGGAAAAATCAATGAAAGCAAAAGCTGGTTCTTTGCAAAGACCGAAAATTTGGTAAACTTCTAGCCAGGCTAAATAAATTAAAAAAAAAAAAAATAGGACACAGATTACTACTATCAGAAATGTTAGAGGGGGCATCACTACCAAACCCATGGACAAAAAAAGGACAATAAAGGAATACTATGAAAAACTTCAAGCCCACAAATTTGATAACATTGGTAAAACGGATCAATCCTTGAAAGATGTAATTTGCCAGAACTCACAAATGAAATAGACAATCTAAATAAGTCTATTTCTTTTAACGAATTGAACCAATAATTAAATAACCTTCCAAATCAGAATGCATACTAATTCACTCATTCTATCCTGTCTTTCTAGCTTATTCTATTCAATATCTAACTCATTCTGATATCAAAACCGAACAAAAATATCACAAGAAAAAAACCAGAGGCCAATATCTCTCAAAAAAACCAGAGGCCAATATCTCTCAATAGGTACACAAATCCTCAACAAAGTATTGCCCAATCGAATTCAATAATGTATAAACGTGGAACGTATCCCAGGCATGCAAGCCTGGTTCAACATTCAAAAATCAGTCTATCCTGTACTGTATCTGGTACACCAAGCTGTTTCCATCAGCTATAAAGAGCAGATTTGGACAAACCCACAACTAAAGATGTACAAGTGATAAAGCCTCACATTCATAAGTCCATTTTCAAAATCCTTTATATTCACTACCTTATTTGATCTTTATAACAGCTCTATGAAGGAAGCAGATCTGGTGGTGATGGAAAGCAGGGACTGGACCAAACTTGGGAACCCTGTCTCCAGGTCAAAACCTCTTTCTCTTTCTCTGGAGTATACTCATTATCCTCATGAATACTCAAGAAAGTAAGGAAGAAGGAAATCCTCCTAACTGAACTCCCTGGATGCCTGTAGCTTCCACCTATGTTATTTCATTAATTTTTATAATAGGAAAAAGCAGGTATAATTATCACTATTTTACAAGTTGAGGTACAGACCTGT